ATTATTGCTGTCGTGTTCATTTTTTATATACGTTGGTTGTTGCCGCGTTTTGATTACAATAAAGGTTTTATAATTTAATACAGTCCAATTTTTTGTTCTTGATATTTTATAACCGGCACCAGTTGAAGCGTGATCACCTCAACCAATTTTGGATTCGGGACCTCGCTCAAATATTTTGGTCCTTCGGGCCGGATATTACTTATCGTGGTATAATTGTTTATAGGCATTTTTATGAATGTTATTTGGATTTAGATATTTTGTTTGTTCTATATCTTAATTATGGGTCGTCCAAAACGCCAATCTGATGTTGCAAATACTTATCCAAATTTATTAGTACGTGCAAGCGTAGCTCATGACGTAACACAACGGTCGATTCGGATATTATATACGTAGGCTCAAGAGGCACTTAGCGGATGTTGAAAAACAATTGGTTTTTAAGGTGCGGTACATTATGTGTGACAAATACATGGAGCAATTCGAACTACAACAACAAGAAGTTTTGAATATTATGGCGGTTCTGGATTAAAGAGCGAGTTCGATGATGTAGATATACTACTAACAGACGAGATGGAAGAATTGAAATGGTTGCTGATGTAATAACAAATACACCGAGTGAAGTTAGACAAAATGTATTTCAGGAGACTGTGCTAGATGGGAAACCAGAAGGCTTTATGAAAGGTTCGTATCACCAGAACGGCCATTTTTGAATAATAGTACCAAACCTTGACAGTATTTTGTACATCTTTTTGTATAATTTTGCACAACCAAAACAAAATTTTGTACACCCACCTAAACCCGACCAAATCCTATTTTTCTATAGCCGTTCTGGAGATGCGTATCCCCAGCACGGTCATTAACCAATTATTATAAAATTGAAATTCAACGTATACAGTATTATGTACTTTTTTTTGTACAATTTCGTACAACCAAAACAAAATTGTGTACATCCCCTAAAATCCGAGAAAACCCGATTTTTCTATGGTCATCACATTTTATACTGTGCCTACTAACTATAATAGCCACAATGCTGTACAGTTATACCGTAATTCTAAAATAATGTGACGTAAGTTAATAATAAATTAATAATAGGTTTCAATAAACCGAGTCTTACTTTCTCCCGCACTATACCTTTATAGTATCTGGTGGACTAAATGTAAATTAAAATAATTAAAAATAGAAAAACCCCAATTTCTGGTTTGTGCATGTAGTTATTATTATGCTATTACATGTAGTATTATTTGACTAGATATTTATTTTATACATGGTCATTTCCGAAAATGCAAATGAATATTGTGTGTGACAAACAACAATTGTGTTAAAATATATTAACATAATAAGTAGGTGATAAAATTATTTAATTACTTATGATTTTTTTAAAAAAAAAATGGCAGATATACCTAAAGTGAAGGTTTGAAGTATATGGATGTAAAGGATATATTTAAATGTAAAATAGAACATTATTAAAAATTTTAATTTTTATTTCTTTATATTATTAAAAACAAGAATAATTGACGAAAACAGTCTCAACTTTTCTAGAATATTCGAAATGGACAGGTACGGTGCGTCTTATCTATCATAGGTATTGTCTTGAATATTCTAGAACTGACCTATCGTTCTACCTGCCTTCTAACCCGGTGCCACAGTGGTCCATAAAAAAAAAAAGTTGGAAAAAAATATTTTCATGGTGATTTTTATTATATTTTGATTTAAGCAAATAATAAAAAGTATTTAATATTTTATTTCATTGTTATTTACAGTAAATTAATTACGAATTAGTTTTTTATATATTAATCTACATTTTAATATACAAATGTTCACAATATGCTAGTTGTTTTCAATTTAATTATTCGTACTCCATAAATTCGTCTTCACTATTTTCCTCATTAATGTAAAAATCCTTTTTATTTTCTCCTACAATACATACAAGCAGTTTTGCTTCATCGCATAATGTGGTTGATTTTTTATTGCTAATTTTTCTTCAACTCGAAATAAGTGGATCTGATGAAATGAGCAAGTTATTAAATAAATCTTCCATTGTATGTTTTCTGGATATTTTTCTTGTGTTATTTTCCCTAAACCTCTTCATATCCTTATTCCTAGCTTCCTGTGCTTCTTCTGATAATAAACCGATTGGCAATATGGCATTTTCAACAATTTGTGTTCCGTGAATCAAAATTTTGTGAACGGATGCTGGTAGATAAAACCATGGATATTTACTAATGAATAATTGAGCTGTCTCAAATGCATAATTATTGAATTCAACTCCTAAAATAATATAAAGAAAACTAATATTTTTTTAAATGGTTAAGCACCTTTGGTCGTCCTACATGGGATATTGGTAAACTTTTTGAAACTTCAGAAAAAATAAATTTTTTGTTTAGCCACGTTTCAAAAATTGTGTCAAACCGATTTTTCGTTCTATTGCATTTCTGCCATCGTTTATCAAATTCGTTCATAAAAATATGCAATTTTTTTTTCAAATCACTTTGATAATTTTCAGATTGCTCTTTCACATAATCCACTTTACATAGAACAAAATCATAGAGGGCCTCAACTTTATAATTTTTGTTAGATTTTAAATCTAATATTTTGAAGTATAAATCTCGGTGTGTTAATTTTGACTCCATTTCATTCAACAAATTCTAAACAAAAATTATTTATAAAAAATTGGGCAAATACGGGCAGCTGGAAATTATGAAATCTTATTTAGGACAAATTATAGAATTATACTTAACCTACGCTCTCACACTACTTCACGCTACTTTTTTTAAAAACTACGACTATTTTAGATTTTTATGTACAATAAAAACGTATTTTAAATATAATTTAACTAATTAAAATAATATGTTTTAGGTAAATAAAAATATAAATTTTAGTAAATTTATTTTCCTTACCTTATAAGCTTTCCACTGGTACCAAATATGTCGATTAAATATTAAATATCTTCGAACAAATGTCGGGAAGAAATGAGTACTTAGAGTTTTGTGAGTGTACGAAAAATACTATATCTTGTTATCGCAAACATTAAGCGATGTATTATCTTCACTAAAAGTGGTTCTATTAAACTAATAGCTATTAGATTAAATGTTCATTCTCATATAGAATACAAATCAACTTTTAAAAATAGTTAATTCCAATAATCATTTTCAACATTTTTTCCTTTTTTTTTTAATTTTTTGACCACTGTGCGGTGGCGACCGGCAATAAATTCACAGGCGTCGTTCATAACCGCACACTTTCAAAAACAAGTCGTCGTTCAAAACCGCACACTTTTATATCTTAATCTCACATGTGTCCACCAAATTAAACCGTTCAATACCGCACACATTGATATATATCAATAATGTATACATTTATCTAAAATAACATGAATGCACCTCGAGACCGGGTAGGGTCACTCGCTCGTTGCGCTCGCTCGGACAGTTGAAAACAAAAATATCCCCCGATTTACTATGCAACACCACCCCAAATAGGTCACAGGATAAAAAAAACGATTATAAGTGAGAATCATACGATCGACCTTTCAAATTTCCCTTTTTTAACAATAGAATATATGTATGCGGTTATGAACAGTAAGTGTGCGGTTTTGATGACCGCCGAAATTCACACCATCATCACCATGTAGACTCAGTTTATTTTAATCTGTTATGCGATTACATTATTGCTGTCGTATTCGTTTTTTTTGTATACGTTAGTTGTTGCCGAGTTTTGATTATAATAACGGTTTTATAATTTAATATAGTCCACTTTTTTGCTCTTGATGTTTTATATCCGGCACCAGTTGAAACGTGATCACCTCAACCAATTTTGGATTCGGAACTTCGCTCAAACAGTGATGTTAAATATTCTTTTTGATAAAGCACATTCAAGTGTATTAACTATGTTAAACATTTTTTAAAAAACAACGTCTATCTAGATATCCTAGATATCTCGGTGGTGTTGATAAAAAAAAAAACGACTAAAGAAAATCATGGAAGAATCCGAAAAACTTTGAAATTTAACAAGCAAACTCGTTATCGTGAGAAAATGCATTTGAGTCAACTTCTATATCTACTTCTATGCATTTTAATAAAAATGTGAAGACTGATAATACAAAAAATGATGAAATATCCAGTAATGGAACAAATAAAATTGTTTCCCTCAAAAAAAAAAATATTAATTAAGAATAAATTTTACTACAGCAAAATTAGCTAGAGTTTTGGATAGGTTATTAACATTATGAACATTAGTGGCATTGGAATGATAAACATATAATTGATTTAATGCAATGATTTAAAACAATTATTTATCCGGAAGTAATGAATACCAACTATCAATAAAATCTTACAGACACTGTGGGACATTCTGTTTTTCAGACGGAATAAGGCGGAAAGGGTAACATAGAGATATATAAACTTAAAAAAAAATCAATGTCAAGAACAGTTCGCCTAATGAGTAAACCGACACAACGTGTATGTGATCGCTAAGCCGATCGCTGCCCTAGGCGTTTCTCATGATTTCATACTTGGTAGTCCGGGTTAGAGTATATATAATATCATCTTAAGTTGTCTTGATTTTGAACCGAGGTGCCATCGCCGTCGAACCATATAATCCCTACCAGTGACGATCAGAATACATCGTCACTACCTTCGGTGTATGCATGTAGACAACATTTTATTTTATTGGAAGGCAAATCTAAACGAATTGTATTCTCTCCGCCCAGAATTAGAACCTTTTATAATTATAAATAATTTTTGCGTAATTTTCATAAATTTATATAAAAAAAAAAAAAGTTTTATTTTTATTACCTTTTAAATTAAGAATATTTACAATTTGTTAGCAATTATAGACAACTATGCGGAGGTACGGAAACATTTCGGAAGGGGAGATCTAGGCTTCATGGACCACTCCCTTCCTTGAATACGTGCCTGCTTTGGAGTACTATAATTATATATTATAATAATGTGTGTACGACGGTATTATATTTAATATCCGTCGGCCGAACGTGTTTCCTCCTACAGCTTACCTGAAGTACCAAAACCTGAACGTCATATCGGTGGACTACAAGAGCTTGGTGCGGCCGCCATGCTACGTACAAGGGGTGCACAATGTACCACTGGTAGGCAAATGCACTGCGTCCATTCTCAGCACTCTGTTCAACGTCCGGAAGGATATCAAAAAGGAACAATTACACGTCATCGGGTTCAGCCTGGGCGCTCAAGTGGCCAGCCACGTAGGACGGTTGATGAACTCGACCTTAAAAAGGATTACCGGTACGGTAACAATCACGATTGTATTACAATTATTATTTGCTTTGATATGACCAAAATCAACGCGGTTTCAATTCACTTCAGCAAAAATGCCGAGGTAGATAAATGTGGTTAAAATTGTTGTCGGACTGGGAGGGAAAAAACCACTCAACATTATAATTTGTAATTCCTGTTATATTGAGTACGAATAGTAGTATAAAACGTTCAGCGAACCCATGAGAAAAATAAAATATTATACCCTTTTGATACTATTTTATTACCTACGCTTATTATTTAACAGTTCGGAAGAGAGTTCAAGAGTGCGTATCACCCACACATACGCATTACAACAGTAAATTTATGCCCGTCTAATGGACTTGAAGTGTAGCGATTGCGTTCGAGTTTTGCTACGACTTATTAACAGAAAGAAACCTTTTGGTTAATTTTGACCTTTTTATATAAAACCGTTAGGTGAATCGTATAACCATTTTATGTAACGTCATGGCTCTTCCGTGTATTTTTTTCAAATCATTAAGAAAAACATAAAAACTATTGATAAAATCTTTGAGAGTAGAGGAAAGCGTTTAATTGTCAAAATTATTTAAAAATTTACTAAAATAATTATTAAACAAATTTCATGAAATAAAAAAATCATAAGTATAATTTTATACGAACCATATTCCGTAATTTATTCTCAAGTTGACGTATTGCCATAGGGGTGCGCACAGGGGTGTCCGATAACTCCCCGAAATTTTGTAAATAGGACCCCACGATTTAAGTCTAAGAGTAAGAAGACCGCATTTTAACTGATGTTGCTCAAATTAAATTAAATTTATTCTAAAATATTCGGTAAAAAATACTTAAATGTTGTTTCATTATAGAAAAAAATAAAACTAAATCTTCTAAATTTTCGTGCGAAAACTTGTTATGATAATACAACAGCTACAATTTTCAACAAAAATACAAATCACAAATAATTGAAGCCAGTGGCGTACATTCAATCTTGCTCTGGGGGGGGGGGGGGGGAACAAAAATAATCGTTATCTTTTTTTTTCGTTGAACAGATAAATAAGATAAATAACTTCTATAAATAGATATTATTTTATACAACTTTTTTACCAATTTGCAGTTTACTTTTACATTACATAAATTAATAGCTATTGGAATATAAAAACAGCATAGTTAACAAAACTTTTCAAACACCTATCAATATAATTATTTAATTATCACAATATTTGTATAGTTGTATATTTTAAGTTCAAAGCGTAATAATGAAACTACGAATATATTACACGTCATCAATAATAAAACAATTTTCTTTCTTTTTTTTGGCCATGGAGGGTTTGTACTATTTTTCATTTTCGTATCGCAGAAACGCGAGTGTAGCGAGCAGCTTTGTAAAACGGGACTGAGAATTTTAATGATACATTTATGACGAAGCCCCTCTTTTGGATTTGCCGACTTCATTTGAACCTTTAAATCCGCCACTGCCCCTGAAATACAGCTCTGTGCATACCTATGCGTATTACTCGTGACTTGATATAGCTGCTAATATAGTAGTAAATACGTACTCAACTATATGATTTAAATGGTTAAAGGAGATCCTGTGCGTTTCTTAGTCGAAAAAAGCAGTTCATCAGCGTGTGAATTTATGTAATTATAATTACATAATTATTTCGAAAAAAAAATCGAGGCAAAAACAGAGGATTGTTGACGATTTCTCAGAATTAGTATTCACATATTCTTAAACGTTTTCGCAATCGGATCACAGCCACCAAATTCATAACACTGTCGACAACAATAGTTTTTCTTCACATCAAATCATAGTGCACAAAACAAATGATGACTACCGGAAACCACGCATATTTCCAGAAACCCGACAGCTTGTATACGTTACCTTTGCACCATAAGCAGGGCCATGGAGAGAGAAACTCGGGCCCGGGGGAGTATATCTTAAGGTATATCTAATTATGTAATACGAATATCGCTTTATCTATAAATAAGAATAATATAGTCTCGGTAGTACGAAAATTGCGACCCGTGTGATGATCCTGTGGTTTTCTCAGGAAACGGGTTTTATCGACGAAAATTAGGAAGGTATCGCGATTATACATAGCTGTACAGTATTATACAACCATCGAGTCGGCACTACCAGGGGCGGATTGGCCTATCGGGAAATCGGAAATTTTCCCGATGGGCTGGTCCTTGTTTGGGCTGCTCTATATTATTATATAATCACCAAAAAAAGTTTTATTTTGTAAAATAAATAAAAATTATTAAAAAAATAAATATATATTTAAAGATGCTTTAAGATCAAACTTCAAGTTCAAGTTGGAACTGATTAACCATCTAACTTACCGAAAACTATTATAGCTATGATTATAGTAAAGTTATTGTAGATTTTACTAATTTAGAGGTGAAACTAAACAAATTTTGAAATTGATGCAAAATAAAGCATATTTTTTTTATTTTTTTTTTTTTTTTGAGGGAGGAGGGGTAAAATAGTTTAATTTGCAATTCATGGGCCGGTTGGTTTCATATTTCCTAGGCCAAAAATAATTGCCAATCCGCCCCTGGGCACTGCTCCTAGGATCGTTTCTCTTCTTCCGAAAACCACGTGATCTTAAAATATATCACCACTTCCCCAGCGTTGTTATTAAATAAATATACGATTGATAGAGATTGTGTCCACCCCCACAATGCTACACCATGGATCGCTATTAATATAAAAATTTACAGCAGACGGATTTAGTATGATTCGATTGTTAAGCAATCGAAAAATCAGGTGAACGAGTTATAATTAGTTTACTCCTTTAACGAAACTAATAAATGTGAGAAATGTGAGCAGGTAACACGGAACCCCCTTTGAAATACGTCACTAAATTATGATATTATGAATATATACCAAAGTACTGTCCAGCCAACTAACTACAATCTACATTCGCTACAGGTCTGGACCCTGCGTCCCCATTGTTCAACCCGGGTTTTGTTGGCAACGATGTGTTGGACAAATCTGACGCGCTGTTCGTGGACGTGTTGCACACCAATGCGGGTATGAAGGGTAAATACTTGCCATTGGGACACGTGGACTTTTACGCCAACAACGGCGCCCTTCAGCCCGGCTGCGGCAAAAGTAATATTATTTTACATGTGCGCAGAGCTTAAAATGGCCGCGCCCAACCAGTGATGTGGTGACAAAACGTCAGACCCTAATTTATATTTCGTATTATTCGTAATTCGTATTGCTGATGTAATGGAGAAACAATTTCTTACGAACTATAAATCGTATTAAATATTAATTTCACGTTACGACTAATTGATGGTTGTATGGAGATCACACAGAATGTTCGAAACGGCAGACGTGTATGATTGCCAAAACAATATAAAAACCCATAGTCTTCTCCCCCTCCTAGGGCCAGCCCAACGCGGTAGCGAAAAAGGCAGCTGCCTAGGGCGACAAATTTTAAATGAACCAAATCGATTTATTCGAATCATATGTCCACTGGGAAGTGTTACAGTTTTATACCAAACGTAGCTGTAGCACTCCGAATTATTTTAACAATACCTGTATCGGTCGCATCAGGTGAACAAAGCCTTTCCAAATTAAAAATTATAAACAATTATTTGAGATCTTCTATGAACCATGAAAGGTTAAGTGATTTCGCTACAATTTCTATTGAAAAAGAAAGATAAAAAATCTTGAATTAAAAAATGTACTGTCTGGTTTTGCATAAGAAAAGGCTAGCAAAATAAATTTAAATTTAATTTAATATATTTTTTAACTTATAATTAAATACTTATTGTTAATGTATGTAAACGATAATGAACGTATTAATATCGATTATAAATATGACTTGTAATATTTCAGAACATTTTAATTTTATAATTTTTATATTTTGTTAAGATAACTGAGGTCGATCCAACCTCGTTTTTTTTAATAAAAACACGGGTTTATCGTTAAGAAATAAATGTTTATATTACCCCATCCTCTCCTAAAAATTAACTTTAGAATAGGATATCGTAAATAAAAATTGTCCAGGACGTCGAAAAACCTTAGGCTGATTCTGCTCCCCTCCCTTTCGGATTTTGGCCACTTTAAGCTCTGCACGTAGGACACATCAACACTTGTCACAACTACGTGATACCGCCCATTGTTGTTGTGTATAATAATATTTTGTGTTGTACATGCAATTGGCGATCATTCTGCATTGCACATGAACAGACACGTCGTGTTGCCACGTACGGGCCGTAGAATATTTTACAGAGTCAATAGAGAGCCAAACAAAGTTCTTGGCACTCAAATGTTTCAGCTACTCATTGTTCAAGATCACATCGTTATGTAATGTGAGCAAAACGTCCCCGTTAGTTGAAATGGGCGAACATGTAAACGAAAAGTAAGTAGCATACCATACAGGATGTTGACTTTTATTTTAATTTTTTCCATTGTATAAGATCATACAATAAGTAAATCTGTACGGCGTAATTAATAAAAAGTATAATGACATGCGTGATTCATGAATTAATGTCCATTGACACTACCTCAGAAAAATGGGATTAGAAAATATTTGTCTATTATTATAAAGACTGTAAGAAATTAAAGAGGTTGGAGATCAATGAAGAACATTAGAATTGTTTCCGATAACAAGAAACAGTTTGAAAAACTGATTGCATTTTTAGGTTCTTGGAGAGCGTACAAACATATAGTGCACCTGTTAATTGGAAATTAATGGACTGAAAAAACTACATAATGTTAATATTGGTTGTTTATTTTTGCTGAATTCTAAATTTAATTCGCATATATTATTTACAGCTAAACATACAACTTTATTATTAGAATAATGAAGAAGATATTTTATATATATATATATTACCGGCAATATGGATAATTTAGGTAGGTATTTTGCAAAATACTTAGGCATTATGCAAATTGCCGACCCATTTTAGGCAATGTAAATAAAAAATATAATATTCAATATTATTTTACATATAACCTAAGTAATTTATAAAATACCTAGACATAATGCAAAATGCCAATTTTTTTTTTAGGCAAAGTACAAAATATTTTGTTATATTACATAAAGATTCTTATATATATTATTATACATTATTACTCAAATTACATACAAAATTTAATTTTAAGCTATTATTATATTATAATTATTATAAAAATATTTTACTTAAAATACTATTTACTTATTATAACATGTTGAAGAAAAGTGACATTTTGAAGAACATAAAATTTTATTTTTAAGGCAAATACATTTTTTATTTTGACACTTGGACTTACAAATACATTAGAAAAATCCTTGACCAATTTTTGTGGAATGAATTTTAATCAAGTCATAATACTGTTCATCAGTTATAAAACTAGTATTAGTGGCCAAATTTTTAAAAAAAAATTTGTAGTTTGTTATAAAAATTTGACTTCATAGAAATCATATCCATAGTTGCAACACCGTAACAAGACATGAAAATGAAGATATAGTTTTAAAATTATTAGTACGTTCAATATTGTACCTCAGATTTACAATTATAGTAATAAAAGAATCTTAATCTTAATTGTGTTAAATCGTGTAAGAACATTTATGATGAACGGTAGTAAATCCGTTGATAATAGGCTATCCCAATTTTGTTTATTTTTATCATATTGCCTACTCTACATTTGGCATTATACATAAATCCTAGGCACAGTTTGTACTATATATATTGACGAGTGATTTTTGGCATTTTATATAATGCCTTGGCATTTTGCAAATTACCGGATTATCCATATTTCCGGTAACATATATAAATATAATCTATATATATATCTTATCCATATCATGTCATTATATGTTTAAAAATATATAGATAAAATAAATACTAATTTTATTTTACAGCGACAGGGGAATTTACTTCTTTATGACAAAGAGTAAACCGCCTTATGCTCTAGGAACTGATATATATGGTACCAACTCGACAGAGTGAAAATCCTTAAGTTCTCGAACAGGTTTAAGTGAAGATTCTAAAATTGATGCTGAATATTAATTACTTTCATCAGAAATGACAAATATATGAATCTATTAAACATAAAACATCAAGATATACTAAATACAAAAACAGAAATGCATATTATTATTATACATAGACTATATTTTAATGTTTCCTATAAAATATTTCAATAGCTAATGTAAATAACATAATAAGAAACAATCATGTGTATAATTTAATTACTATTATTAAATACATTTTGTAATTATCAGTTATCAAATAATAAAAAAAAATTGTCCGTTGTTATACATATTTAGCAATAAAATGTTAAAAATTAGCAAATTGTTACAAATCTCAACCGATTTTTGTTTTCGAAATAGAACCTCTGTAAAATAAAAAATAAAAAATTAAATTAAATTTTATAAAATAAGATTTTACTCTACTTACCCATGGTTTTGATGAGCTGACTTAGTTCCACTCAAAACTATGTAAGGGGATTGTGTTTGTTTTTGTTTGGATTGCAACATATTTAAAGTACCAAGTGGAGTATCAGTTGAGCTCATTTGTTTCATTAACTAAAAAATTATATTTATATTTTTACATAATTGGAATCAATAAACTAATTATAATAAATTGAAATAATTTATAATTACTGCTTCTTGTTCAGCTTTCTTTATACGTTTTTCTATTTTATTTTTACCAGGGCCTTTGCCATGAAATTTATGTGATAAATACCTAGAAAATAAATATTATTATTAATTATTACTCAACAAACAATCTCAGTAAGTTAACTGCATACCGGAATGCTTCTTTTTCGCTCAATAAATGGCCATCATCATCAATATAATCAAGTTTTATATTTGGTTTATAACTATCTTTTTCCCTGAATTCTACAGTAGGGCCACTATATCTATCTCTCCTACTCAATTTATCATCTTCAGCCCTAAATCAAACATACTTAAAACAATGAACAAAACCAAAAAGAAATTAAATTAATTCATAAATTTAACAATATAAAAGTATTAAAGAAATTTCAAAATGATATGAGAAAATCAATAAAATACATATTATACTCGTATTAATTGTAACATACAAAAATGTTTTATCTTCAATAGAATAATTTTTTGCTTGTAAATGAGCAAATCGTGAAGCAGACGGTCGAGCATTTTCTTCTTTTTCAATATATCCCTTACTCATAGCCAATCTCAATGCACCAGCTACGCCTTTACCTAAGTCAGGTTCTGGTTCTAAAATTGGCTTACTATCAATTGTTTTTAAGTCTATCAATTTTTTCTCTGAAATATAATATAATTTAAATAAAAATATGTTCTTAAACTAATAAAAATTTAATATACCCATTTCCACTTCTCTCCATCCATCATTAGACCCATCAGAATCAACTGAATTTTCTTGTTTAATATAATTTTTGTCATAGTCCTAAATAAAAATATAACACTTAATTTATTGTACAAATAAAATTATAGTACCTATACCATTAATGATTCATCTTCTTCTTCTTCTCTGTTTCCAGCTTTACCATAAGTTGGTATATCTCCAAGAGTTCTACAAAACTCTGCAGTAGAGTTCAATACAATTGCTCCAAGTGCATTCTCATTATACTCAGTTTTCTAAAATATGACATTAATTACAAAATGAATACTATAGGATACTAAGGAATACTATATATATAATACTATAGGAAATAGTGAAACTTTAATTAATTATGTAAACAATAATTAACTGTACCATTGATACTTAATTTAATATTTATTCATGTTTTTTTTTAAAAATTATTTTTATACATAATTTATTTCAACAAATTTTATTTACTAATAAAATAAATACACAAAATAAATAGTAAAGGACTATACAAGGATTATAAAGTATTTTTATTACTGTTTTGACAAACTTTTAACTAAAGATATGAAATCTTAAAAAATACTAATATAGGATAAGTGGATATACATGAAATATGGTGAAAAGATTAAGATAAAAGATAGCAATAGAAAATGCTTTTATAAATAACTAATATATAAATTACTAAAAAGCATTGTCTTACAAGGAATAGTAAAAAGATATATTAATTATTAGTATATTACACTTAGGTTTTAAATTTTAAATTTATGCTATATTAATAAAATTTAAATTTCTTGAAAAAAAAATGTATAGTTAATATTAAGGCGCGTCCAGATGGAGCAGTTTTTGCTGCGCGGCATGAGTGTGAATACATGAATACATTTTCCTGGGCCTTTTTTTGATGCCGCACAGCTTGTGCCGCTCACCTATGCCGCGCGTGTGTGGACATATTTTCAGAAAAACCACGCAGCATCAATACTTATTTTTTATGTAGGTATTTAAATTATAGTAAATAAGTAATTAGTAACAGAACAAACTTTTTTCACTAATGTAAAACTGATTTTTGTAGTAATCTCCAGAAAAAACAATTTTTATTCTATCAAAATGTTGATACTGAGGATTCTGTTTTTAAAAATACAAAGATCAATAATGATTTTTTAAAAATCTTTGATTTCATGTTTTTTAAGATTCAAAAATATAGATTACTTGCTGATCTCGTGTACTTTGTTGTCCATTAAAAATTACACAACTCTATTTTATTTATGAATAATATATTATTATTATTATTATTATAGCTTTAAAACAAATCAGGAAATAAATACCGCACCGTGTGGACGCATATTTGCCGCACGACTATGCTGCTCCATCTGGACGCGCCTTTACAATTTCAGCTAATACAAAGATTTAATAGTTTACACCAAATTAATAAATGGAATTAATTAAAAGTGATGCACAACAATCATACTATAATATCAATATTGATGTTTGACCAATTTTACCAATATCAAAGCGAATCATTTATCGAATGTATTTCAATATCAATATCAATTCTATACAATGAAAATTTTGTTTTTAATGTTATATTACAAAAAAAAATTCATAAATAAATTTTGTATTTAATATTATACTGCTTTCAGTTTATTAAATTATATCAATATATCGTTTTTCAATAATAATATTGATTGTTTTTCTATATCACGATAGAGCATTGATATAAATTATGGAAAATATATCTTTGTGCAACACTATTAATTTATATGAATATTGAAGACTATTTAATTAGATTTATTTGTGAAGTTTTCAATAGATATACTTAAATATATAATTTGAAACCAGTACAAAAATAATTACACATGTTCAATGTTCAAAATATAAAAAAAGCAGACTTACAACTAATAAATTAGCTAATTCAGTTTTTTTTCCAATTGTTTCTAATTGCTTTAGTTTTCTTGCTTTTTTTAATGCCAATTGCAATCCCAAATCATCTTCTTCTTCATTTTGCATTTTAATTTCATCAACATCCATTGAATCACCTAATAATGTTCATATATTTATATTTTAATAATATAATTTAAGAATTATATAATTTCTTATTGTATTAACTATAATACTAATTCTTTAGAAACTCAGAAAGTTAAATAAATATTTCTGTGTATTGTTATTTTTTTGTATAACATTTAAATTAAAAAAAATACCTAGTAGAACATCATCAATATCATCATCATCATTATCTTCGGCCTTATTATTTGCAAGCCTTAAAGACTTTTCCAATTTGTCTGCTGTTATTGGATTAACCCTTAATTTTTTTTTTTAAATAAAAAAATAACTATTTTATATAAATATTTAAGTATTAAAAATATAAGAAGTATACCTTGACTTTTTTAAATTTAACACTCATCTCAGAAGCATTATAATAATCAGATGCAAGTTTCAATTGAGTCGTATTTAAAGTATCTTGATTTAAATTTTTTTTTAATTTCTCTTTTATAGTATCTCGTTTTACTTTGTATTCATCAACACCTAAAAGAATTAATGAATATAAATAAGATGACATATATTTTATAACAATTATGAATACCCAGTTTAAAGCTTTTTTTTTTTAATCCTTCAATTTCTTCATCATATTTTCCAAGGATCACACTTGGTTTATCAATATCCATGTCATCTAATTCATCATAACCACTATAATTTGGACGTTGCTTTCGTCTGTCAATATTCTAAATAATTACAAAAAATATCATCTATTTTATTTTAATAACAACAATAAATTGTGATTATTAAATATTAAATATAATTATTTTATACTTGTTTATATGATTCATTATCCACCATATTAACATTGACCAAGACATCTGCATCTTCGGCTAAAACATCTTTATCTTGTAATGTCAAAATTATTTCTTTTCCTTCTACAAATTCATCCTAAAATTAATAATAAAAATTAAAAATAATAATAAAAGAAAAACTATATATAAATATTCTGCTTAGTTATATAATATACCAATGAATGTTGAACTTCCAATCCTTTCAAGTGTTTGCTAGAATAAAAATTCTTCATTTCACTTCTCGTACTTTCTTCAATTAGATCACCAACACCAAATACATTATCCATTTCTTCCAATTCTTGGGCCTTTTGACAAAATAAAAATATAGCTGAAAAATCAGTCCAAAACAAATGCAGTAATAAAATAATTCTAAATACTATTAAGAAAATAAAGTTTTAATACCTTTTTCTTTGCTTTTTCCATTTCTTCTTGAATTGTTTTTGTTTTGTTAACCCAACTAATAGCATCTTCTTCTGAATCACTGTCAGCTAACTTTTTCACATTTAAAATTTTGTTTTCAATCAAACGTTTTTCTTTTTTTTCAGCTATTCTTGTTTTTATTTTATCACTTTTATTCTTTTCTGTTATACTTACTAAATAATTACAAGAAATTAAAATTTATATGAAATATTTAATGAAATAAACTTTATAGTTACATGCAGGTTTATGAACAAATTCTCCTTCATCACCAGCAATAACTTCTAATCCATCATCTCTACTCTTAGTAGTTTCTTTGTTTTCCATTTGCAATGGTTTAAGACCCAATTTAGCCCTGATTTTATTAGTTTCTTCAATGGAAAGACTATCAGATGATGATGATATGGTAGGAGGTGGTGGTGGTGTAAGGCTTGGAGGAGGTGGAGTTCTAACTTCATTTCGAGATATTTTAGGTGGCGGTGGTACAAAAATAACATCATCATCTAAAATATAAAATAGGTTATTTGCAAATTATTTAATAAAATTTAAAATAAAAATAATATAACATATTGCTTCAAGCATGTTTAGGAAAAAACTTACCAAAATTATGTTACCCATTTCTTATTTTACTACATGAATTATTAAAAAGCATATATACTGGATTAAATGATCATAATAATTATGATAATTAAATATCAAATAACATGTATTAAGTATATGAACTTATAAAACGTTTAAATTATACCTATGCGATTTTAAAATGAAAACCATTATGAGAAATTAAAAATAATCTACACAATAACAATATCAATGGAGTTCTAAATCAATGTTAACAACAGTCCTAGATATTGTTGAGAATCATTCCTTTCTTTTTATTTAACAAAAATAACATACTACATGCAACAATTTAAGTTGTAAAACACAGATATCACAGATAAGTGTTTTGACAACAACAGTTGATGGACAAACATTAAAGAGTAAAGAAAAAATCTCGATTGGAATAAAATGAAATTTATTCAAGTGTTAATTTTTTCAATTTTTGAAAAATGAACCCATAATCATGATAAATACCAATTCAACACAGACACAGATAGCAACAGTACGCTGAATACTCAATGAAAACTAACAATGAAATGTCAACCGAACTAGTTTACAAATGGATAATAATTAAGGAGGGGTAATAAAACTTGCCAGAACTATGATATTTGTGTCTGTCTTTGGACTTTTCTTTTTTCTTATGGTGTTTCTTGTGTTTTTTATGCTTATTGGCAACGTCCACATCCGATAAATCGCTAGACGGATGTCTTCTTTTCCTGTGTTTGGACGATGCGTCGCCGCCGCCACCGTCAGACGAATCGCTGGAATGATGGCGTTTTTTTTTGTCTTTTTTCTTATGTTTGGACGACCCCATTGTTCTCCAGCGGTGTTTTCGAACGAGAACCGATTAAAAATCTCTTCTCAACAGTGCAAATACAAAAAAAAACCACATACAATGGTACTTCAATCGAGTACTCGGTAACGTTTACAGTTGTTCGGCGTTCCGCGGCGTTTGCTGTTTTTAACCTTATCACTATCCACGGTGAAGGGGACGAGAGGCAACGATTGTACGTCCTTGATAACGCGATCAGCGGTAACCGTGGAAGAAACGATAGACGTTAACTATAAACGCTAATGTGAAGAAAAAACCGCGAAATCGAAGAAAAAAACCATGAGTTTCGCGACGGCTTCGGCCTACGAAGCCTGACATGTTCTACAAGAGGCAGCTATTTTTAGACTCTGCCGGAGTATTCCCCAATTCCCTTACCCCCGTCTACTGGCTACCGACCGGTAATAATACATTTCTCTACACACGTTCGGAACGCCAGACGTTCTCAATGCGCGTCGGTTATTAGAATTCGGAAATTTTCCTTTTTTTTTTTTTAAATTCATAATTAAAAAAAGTGAATTAAAATAACCTCAACTCTCGCATAGTATTATCGTATTCGGCTTTTCATCCATTTTTTTTAAATCTGTACTATTCACACGCTGCTGAGGTATCACGTCTCTCGATTTCGGACAATATTGTGTAGAGTTCACGTCGTCGTTTTAAAAAACGTCAACACAATGTTCTGTGACACTGATGAAGTAAAGTTTATGATGGAATATATGGTGAAAATGGGCGATGACTTGTTTTATACAGAGTGCTTCCAGAAAAATGAAACTATGGGCGAATTGTACCTAGGGTTCGCAAACAAACATACAGCCGAAGATAAATTTTTGTACACATACTATTTACTCAAAAAATATAAAAAATTACCGGTCAGTTGTGTACGAAGAGAACCCAAAAGCGACTCAAAAGCTCGCAGTATCCGAACTATGGGAAACGTTAAATTTCAAAGCAAAGACTATGTTTCTGCTTTACGTGAGTACAATTTAAGTGTTATGACTGCAAAACCAGACAGCGAAGACTATGCATATGGCTTAGCAAATCGTTCGGCTGCTCTCTACTATTTAAAAGAATACAATGATTGTATAAGTGACATTCACCATGCATTGGCTACTAATTATCCTGCTTCAATGTCCTTTAAATTATATGAAAGAGAAATTAAGTGTCTAAAAAATATGGGAAAAATATCTGAAGCTAAGTCTAAATTTGAAGCAAGTATATTTGTTGATTATGTACAGCTTTACATATCATAAATAATAATGTCTTATATTAATATTGTTGACATTCTTATTATTATAATTATTTATATGTCAATAGGAATTTTCATCTCATTTGGGATTTGCATTATTACCTGAAAAAAAAATGCAAGATATTAAAATTGAATTGGAAAAGTTTTTAGATGAACCCAATGATATAAATATTAATGCAGATGAAAAAATTGGAATCAAATTATTAGGAGGTCCAAATAAAAATATACCAGCATTGTCCAAACATGTCAATCTAAAATATTCAGAATCAATGGGTAGATGTTTAGTTGCTTCATCTGATATTCATCCAGGTACTTATAAATGAAACCGAAAATATTTAACTATGCAACTGTGCACCCTTTTTTTTATTTTGCTTATTTTAAATATTTCTTGATATTGCTAATTTCTAATTGTTTTTATATTAAGTTGCACCTTTTCAAATATTGGGAATTTTCAATTAGCCAACAAGATACATTTAATAACTTAAATTTAAATCAAATGCCTTAAAAAAACTTACTTAAACTTAGTGTAGTACTTGTACAATATTTTAATAAATTATTTTGTTTTGTTATAATAAAAACATTTTTATTTTATTTTTTATCGGTAAAAAAATAAAATTATTACAATCTATAGGCACATTAAGTAATTTTTATAATACATTTTATCAATAACAGGATTTAACAGAATAGGAGGGCACTCAGCAGTACCACCCAATAAATTATTTTAATAAATCTCTTGGCCAGGTCTGTTTTTATCTTAGAGGGTTGATAGGATTATCGAGAGAGGAAAGACAATTGATTAGTGGATTTGTATGTTGAGCTAGTTTAGAATGGAATGAGCAGAAATGTGATTTAATTAATTAAGACAAAGTTGGAATTTTAAGGTCATTGTTTAGGTTAGAATATTTTATATACCAGAAGTGGAGACATATTGGTTGGAAAGCTTGGATGGTTCTTAAGTTGGAAGGTTTGACTGAGCCCCATAATTGGATACCATAAGACCACATAGTTCTGATGATAACAAAAACATAAATATATTAATTATTATTGACAGATTTTTCATAATTTTACTACAAATTAAATGGCATATTTAAAAAAAAAATAGTGCATGTTCGCCTTTTATACTTATTTTATTAAGTTTTTGATGCTTCAACTTCTTACCCTTGATTTTACTATTAAGTTATTTGTTATATATTAAATATATACTGTTGAACATTTTTAATCTCATTTTTATTGTTTATAAATATTTTATGTTTAATATCGAAGAATAATTTTAAATTTGGTTCTATTTAAATTTTCAGGAGATATTCTTGCCATTGAAAATCCTTATGTTGGTGTACTAAGAAAAGAATCATTTGAACATAATTGCCATTATTGTTTTAAACGCTGCTTAAGTGGTATACCTTGCTTAAAATGTACTTTGGTAAGAATGTACTGAAATAAATATACTGGTAGTCCGTTTAATTTATTAAAATAAATAAAACAATTCTGTAGAATTAAAATATTATGCTTAAGTTAACCTATAATATAAATCACATTTTATATTAATTTTATCATTATATTACATATCTATTTAGAGTTAATATTTTATGAAATTTTTTTACATTTATTCCTTTAGTATAAAATTTATTATTAAATGTTCAATAGGTAATTTACTGTGATGAAACCTGTCGAACAAAATCTCATAAAAGTATCCATAAATATGAATGTAGACTATTAACGGCACTTAGTCGATGGCCTAGTATGAAACACATGGAACATCTGTCACTTATCATATTCTTGACATCTGTTACTAAGATGGGACTGAACGAGTATGTTGATGCTGTACGTGCCATGAATGTTGATTCTACTGATCCCATAATGAGAGGTTTTAATGCTCATGGCAAATATTTGTCTCATGAATTTTGTTCTACCTATACGTTGGAAGGAAATGAAAAGTTAAGAAAAGTAAGCGATATGTTTTTGAGGAACTGTTATGCTGCTGTTATGGTTTCATTTTTGACATTGGTGGGACTGAAAATACCAGACCATCAGCTAGGCACTGTTGGAGAATCGTTGGTTCATATCATATGTATAGTTTCTTCTAATGCTCATGGTATAACACAACAACCTCAAAGAAAAACATGGAGGCTCGCAAATCAAAAAGAGTTTATGCCGGTAGCTTCTTTGTTATTGCCTGTTTTAAGCTTGTTGAATCATCATTGTGATCCCAATGTAGTAAGGCACAACTATAATGGAACTATAGTCCTTAGAGCCATTCAACCCATTTCTAAAAACTCTCAGGTAATTATTGACATACAATATGCATATTTAAAATAGTTATTTAGAACATTAAAATATTCAACTAATTTTATTATAATTATTTTAAATGTTGTTTATGACAATTCAAATAAATGCAAATTCATTACTCTTTTATACTATTTATTTTTAGCTTTTTGATAACTATGGAAAAATGTATGCTACACATAAAAAGGAATCAAGACAAAAAAAGCTTTTAAATCAATTTTGTTTTCGTTGTGAATGCAAACCATGTGTAGAAAACTGGCCAGTTTATGAAGTATTAAGAACCCAGCAACATTCAGAGTAATTAATAAACATAATTAATGTTTCCTAATATATATGTTTAATAATAATTTTTTACAGTCTTATAATGCTTACTACTCATACTAATCAAGACACTTTAAAAGAACATGAAAGTAAACTGCGTAAAATAATTTTAGAAATCGGAAATAAAAATACTGACGGTCTTGAATATATTCAATACTTGTATGATTATTTGGAGGTTCTACACAATAGTATTAAAAAACCTTTTAAGGAATATTGTGATTGTCAAGAAACCATAAAAGAAATTCTTTATACCACTTCTGACAAATTTATTATTCCAAAACATTAACTTGTGTTAGTATATAAGATTGTTTTTATTATTTAATTTAATTTAACGTGATAACTTTAAAGATCTTTAATTTGTATATTTCTATTTTTACTTATACTGTATGATGGGTTTTTAACTTTGGAAATCAAAAGATACTTTTTTTGTTATTATTTGAAGTTTTTTTTTTTTAACTTATTAAGATAATCAATTTTGATTAGTTTTTAACATTTTATCATAAAAAGTAAATATGTATTATGTTATAATCATATGTATAAATATTTAGCTTTTAATAAAACTTAATTTATTATCAGGTCATTTACTAGTTTATAAAAATATTCATAGAACTATATATACAAAATAAATAAAAAATGATTGTTTCATTGTGTGTAAGTATTCAAAACCACATGAAATTAAATGTTGTTCATTGATTTGATTTTTTTTCTAAATTATATTATTTACAATATAAAAAAAAAAATGAGAAAATTCTGTAAGTATATCAACATAAGTTGAGGCAAAGCAATCAATCTGCATTAGATTCTTCATTTGGATTTTCTTCAGCAAGACTGTCATCATCCCCAGAATCTGTGCTATGCTCGTGTAAAAGTACATACTCTCTAGAACTAAATCCAAATTTCACTACATCTTTCTCCATCAGTTCTACATATTTCTTTGGATCTATACGTTGATTATTGACATAAGTACCATTGGCAGACTCTAAGTCAATTATATATGGCCTAATACACCTGATATGACGACCATCTTTTTTAACTGAAACTAGTCTGTATTGAAGAGCAGCATGCTGTTTAGAGCATGAAGGATGATCTATTGGTATGTCAGCTACTTTACGATCACGTCCCAGCAAATAACCACTTTGTCTGTGTATGTGAAGTACCGGTAATTGTTTTTCTCCCTTAAACGGATATAATCGCCATCGACGTTTTGGTTTTCTTGCCTCAGCAGGTTCACTATATTTAATAACTACTCCATTAAATGTATTTGTGTCTTCTGCCAACTTGCCAGTAGTTTCAAAATTTGGTTCTTCTTTTTTACCAATCGGTTTCTTTGGGCCGGATGAGTCTTTTGAGCCCCATTCATGATTAGCATCCGATTTGTTTTTATGTCTCGAATTATCTCTACGATTATTTCTTGGTCTTTTCCTACGATCATCATCAGAATCTGAATCACGTCTACGATGTTGTCGTTCAGGAGATCTATTATCACGATATTTGTACGACTTCCTGCGGTCATAATTGTCTTCCCTAAAATAAATGCATAAATATTAATTTTTAATTGTCAGTAATATTCTCAAAATATTTAAGTCAAATTAAATTATATTTGAGGCTTATTAAATATATATTTAAAATTTAAGTAGTCTACACAAATTATACTAGATACTAACAGTAAAATCCTTTCGCTGGTAGTACACATTCGCTAAGACATATAGCTTGGTTTCGCCTCGAAGGCGCTTGGTCGGATGGCAGTTTTTTGTGCCCGAGTCAAAGGACACGGGCCAGTCGTATCATAAGTCGAAAATATACAGCGTGCATTTGAGCTTCCTCGCCTAGCCTAAATTCTCGAGACTCAACGAATGTGTACTGCATTATATACCTTAATAACCTCATCAGTTTCCAGTGACATTATATAACTATTTACTATGAAACATGGATACGATTATAGATCTTAAGTTTTATCTTTAATTATTTATATTTTATATAGAGTCACCTAAGACATGAAAACACTTGAGTAGGAAGTGTTTTTGTATAATATTAACTAAATAGGACAATTAGATAATAAATCAATTTCCATAACCAAAATATGCGGAAGTTACAAGCAGTAAAAAATTATATTGCGTGCATGTCACAACATGATAATAGCTCACCAAGATAACGACTATCACAAACATGAGTTGACCACGTGAGTCCATACCTCATTAAAACTTATTTAATAGTCAGATAATAAGTTAACTTTAGAAAACTTAAATTGCTTTTAATAATAGCAATTATTCTAGACGAATACATGAATTAATATTTGCATATCTTTAATAAACATAATTGAATTAAATCAATCTTTGATAAATTAAAATGAAAAAACTAATATTGAACTATTTGACTAAAAAAATTATGCAAATAACTCAATAGCTTTTGAAAATGTTAATGTAAAAAAAAATATATTAAATTATCAAACATAATATACCTACAATTAAATTGGTAAACTGCCCATCATGTCATATTTTATAAAAGTCAGTCAAAAAAACAGAAATAAATTACAATTGCAAATCATATTATTCTATTATATATTAGAATAAAATATAATATCTTTTTTTTTTTTTAACGAAAAATATTTTGTTAAAATATATAAATTAATAATTTTTGAACATAATTTAATGTATATTATACACACATACATTTTTACACAAAAATTTGGACACAAAAGAAAACAAGTTGGTATTGGTATATATAATAAATACAAACAAGTTAAAATATAATTTCATCAATAATGTCTTAATAAATGCACTTATTTGAAAAATATTGCTCCTTATTAAATAACTCATTAATACTAATAAATAATTAACATTTAAAGGTAATTATTATCACATACATTTTATCACCAAATTTAATACACTTTGTATTTAATGATGTTGGTAATATACTATTAATTTTATTTTTTGTCATTTTCAGCTAACACTGGGTAAGCTAATGTAGTAGTCAGAGAATCATTATGTTCTTCTAAGGAAGTTTGAGAATAATGCAAGACTAGATCCTTCAAAGAAGAGTAAATATTGTAAGGTTCAGCAAATCCATATCCTTTAGGTGTTCTATATACTATACAATGGTTCACAACTCCATTACAAACAATAGATAATGCTGACTGTCCAGTACGACTAGGTCGAATTAAAAACGTTCCGTTACGTTTGCCATTTAGTAAACTTTCAGCATCAGCACGTGAACATGATTCTAATAACCATGTACTCTCATCGAAATGAGAAATGTTGAGGGGTAGTTGTATATCTTCAGGATTACAAGTATTCCAATCAGTGCCGTTCAGCACTTGATTGATATCATCCAAAGCTACTCCATGGGTCAATAACCATCGGACTGATTTATCTTTTTGGCGTGTTAAGGCTGCAACTTCTTGCTTTAATTGATACATTTCCCGCTCTAATGTCTGACTGTATGATACTTGACTGAAAATAAAATATTTAATTTAATTAATAATTATTCAAATGGTTAAGACCAACAAAAAAAATTACCTATATAATTTATCCTCTAATATTGCTTTCCCATCTAGCAGATACTTCATTCGTTTTTTTACAATTTCAATATTTTTAACCAAATTATCTGCTTCATGTCGTTCAGCTTTTTTAAGAAATTTATCATGTATCTTTAACTGTTCTTCAAACATTTTATTTACTTCGTGATATTGTTGCAGTCCCATACGCATAGCTGATATATCAGCCATGGCAGTTTGAAATTGTTTTGATAATGCGTCATATGAACTTGACTTCCTCAATATTTCAACAAGCACATCAAATAAACGCTTCCATAGTCCTTCTACATTTAAACTTTTCCAAGTACCAGACTCTTCATCTTGTTGAAATCTGGATACAGGATACAACAATTTTACATCTAATGTAGCATTATATTGTGACAATGAAACTTTACGATAATGGTTTACAAGATCAATAACTGAAGAAAAATTGTAAGGTTCTGAAAACCCAAATTTTCCATTTTTATGATAAATTTTAATTAATTTATTGGTTCCTCCTTTTCTAAGAGTCAGCGTATACTCTCCAGCCTTATTTGATGCATTTCGAACCAGAAATGTGCCATCAGGCATATCAGTTAGTTTTTCTTGTACCTCATCTCTAGTTATGTCACCCCAATACCATTCTGCTTCCTCTATGCAACTAGGTTCTTGCAATGGGTTTTGTAATCTGGTTGCTATTGATTCAACAGATTGAGAGTGATTGGTATTGGTCTGTGATAGTTTACGAGGTGGTAAAGCCGGTGCGCCTGTTGGAGACATAATGCTCCATGATTCATGGGCTTTTACCATTATCTAATACAAATGTGTCAACGAACCGCAGGATTTCTGAAAAAAATAAAATAAAAATAGTTTTATAATAAATTAATAGATTACTATAATATTACTATAATGAAGATATTACTAATATAAATAATAAGGCAAAAAATAAATCACCCTAAAACCATTGGGTTTAATATGATTTAGTCTAGAATAACCATTAACCTAATATAAAATTTTAATTTTAGTTTAATTAACACTTACCAGGAGCGTTTATGCTTATAACATCGGCGTTAAAATAAATGCAGTTCATCTTTTTTTATGTAATAAACAATTCAAAATTGCCATCAATTTCTAAGTAAAATAGAATAAATAAATAGTTTAAGTTACAGAAAAAAAACATAATAAAAAATGGTATGACAGGTTTAATCACAATTTTTGTAAGAAAAATCACTTCCATACACAACAAATAATGTAAATTAACAATAACAATGGTATAACAATAATAATAAATATAAAATTTTCAATAATTTATACTTTAGTATATGATTAGCTAAATACACCTCAACCAAAGAGCTATATTTAAGTAAAATAATCTGCAAAAGGTTGAATTTATAGGTACATAGTACCGATGCATAAACAAAAACACTCCATTTTTTTAAGGCAACTAATTATATGTTAAATAATTAAACATATTTAATAAAATAACAGTAAATAAAAATAATTTATTCAAAATAATTAAAAAAAGAAATAATAATAAAAATAATAATTCCAATATCTGTATATATATATATATATATAACTAGACAAGAGTTAGTTAAGATTCTTACAAATTGTATGATTATTTTATCATCAGCAGACTTGTCGCTAAGATTAAAAAGTTGTAAAATACTACATTAACAGTCTTATGCATAACAGTCTTATTAAAAATATTTAATCACAACTCAAGATTAAAATCTCTATTATAATGAAATATATATATATATATTTAAAAAAAATGCAACAGTTTTCGACAGAGAAAATAAAAGAGAATAAAATTGTGTAATACACTTTCTAATAGGAAGATAATTTTACAAACACATTCGTGTTAATTTGAAAACAAATATATATAAGTGATGATATTAAAATTAATTTCTCAATTATTCCTATTTAATTATTGTATTATTATTATCAATAGTAAGGAAGAAAAGCAGATAATTGTATCTGACTTATTAAGAAAAAAAAAATTAACCCAGTCAAATCTCACTTCTCCCACTTTAATTTTATTTCCTCATTCAAATAACTATAGCTATTAAAATTAATTTAAACTGTAAAAACACTGTTAATATATATTTACTCGTACTACATTATGTACTTAAACATATAACAAAATATCAAATTATCAGTAATAAAATGATAATGGTGTAAACATTTGTTTTACATTTACTATAAAAGAAAAAAACTATAGTAAGTTAAGTAAATACGCGGATATTATGATTTTTTTTATTCAGATTTTGCATAAATATAGTTTGATTTATGATATTTTGTACCATAGTTTTAGAATTAAAAAAGAAAATGAAAGAGGGATCTTTATTATTTAAGATAATTTTATGCATATTTTATTTTGAAATCGTAAGGTACAAATATTGTATATTTGTAGACTTATACATAAAATTGATTAAACTAATAGATTGGCTAACTAAATAATTTTAACTCTGAATTTAAGCTTTTTTGTTATTAAGATAATCTTCAAAAAATGCTTTAAACAATACTATAAAAACTATCCATTATAAATCTATTCCACATGTTATTAAAATGAATTTAAAAATATATTAATTAAAAATAAGCATAAGATTTTCTGGTGTTTTTATTAATATTTCTAAATAATATGTTTTGTACTACGCAATTTATATTATACAACTATCAAGTTTCATACTTTAAAATAATAAATATTGACAATATCATGTTGTTACTTTTCGTAATATGTGGTGTAATATTTTCAACACTCTTTTAAAACAATGGAAACTAAATATTTTGTTCTAATTTAGACAGCAATTACAATATTAAATCAGAATAATTTCATCTATTAAAATATATTATAACTATTTCTATCATACAATTACAAACCGTTATAAACATAAGATTTGATAGGTATGACTATACCTAAGTACTGAACTACCTAAAATGTAATCAAATATGAAATAACCTAGAAAGAACAAAATTTTTTTAATAAAGTATAGCAATATAAGATAATCAGAAAATAGTATTCTATGAAAGAAAACAAAATTTTTATCCAAAGCCGCAAACTAGTTGGAATTATGATAGTGGGTGAAGGGGAAAAACAAAAGTATTCAATACTCACCTAAGGGAAAAAAATTGGAGAGCTGAGCTCGCATTACATAAATGACGGAATTAAGTGTATTGATGTATGCTTATTGTTATGCCTGAAAATTAACCATCAAATATCGATCAACAACCTCCCCGCCTACCAAATAAAGGAAGGTGATTTCCTCCCTCCTGCTCTCCAAGATTTGTGCTTCTGTTTTCATCTGTAGTCAATTTAAAAAAGTATTCACTTACATGTCATTTTCTTACTCATTTAAGTAATAAAAATTTGAAATATTAACAACTATCAGTTTTCTTCTAGAAAGCAGTTTAACTCTTAATAAAGACTAATTATTTATAGTAAATACCATTGCTAATTATTAATAGAAAATTTCAATGTGTTATTTTAAATATTGTTTTTATATTCATTAAAATAACTATATCCATTTTTTCTTTTAAGTACTTAACTAATAATAAATATAAATATTAATATAGAAATGAATAAATAAATAAATGATTAACCTTCTTATTTATATTTTATTATAAATATTAGTTAAATAATTACACAATAACAAATAAAATCTTAAAATGGTTTTATATATGACATTAAACCTATCTATATAGTAGACAAAATAGTTTTCAGAAATAAATTTCAATATAACAATAATCACATGTAAACATAACTCAAAAAAAAAGATTTGTGTCCTTTCAATGAAAGCTTTAGATTTAGTAAACTATTGTCTATTTCTTATACTCTTCGGATAATTTAGTTACCTAAATAAAGAAATTACCATTAAGATTAATTTAAATTATGAAGAATAATAAGATGTATATAACAACCATTAGAAATTACTATTAGTGATACATATTTTAAAATAAATACTTTTATGTAACTTGTGAACATTTGATGTTCAATATAATAAAAATAATAATCTTTGTGATAGCATATAATTAAATGATAAATTAAATTTTTATTTCGGTTGAATTGGCTTAAAAATATATACACAATCATTAAAGTGTAAGAAATAAAAATTAAAAAATAAATTTAAGATAGGCAATTCAAACACAAGTACAATCGAATGAAACTTCACATGAATACTGTCACATGTAGATTACACCACACAAAATTGGAAAATAATGTACATTTCTCAACAGTCGTTAACATTAATACATTTATTACGATTTTGCCCCAACAAGATGGTGACATACTCGACCTTAATGTATAATTGCAAACACACTAAAGGTTTAAAACGACAAGGGAAAACACCGGGAGTCATGAGAAAAATAGATCAGATTGACGGCAAGTAAGAATTAACGAGGACGGAATCTGTTGGAAAATTGAACGCTGTTGGGCAGAAAAAATTAATTTCAGTCGACAAGAATCGTCTACAGAATTTTAAAATTGAACCGGTGCCTATTAACTACTTCACAACAGGTACTACTAACGCAATTTGTACCTAGTGATAATACGAAATTCGTTTGACACTCACTCTTCGTGTCTTTTCGACGGGTGTTTGTGTCTTCGGTCGTCCTGTCTCGACATTTCGATGGTGGTTGAATCCGTTGACTCGATGGACTACGATTAATCTTGTTTATCTATTATAATTATGAGACTGCTGTTGCTTCTTACTACCTAACCTACCACTTACACATTATTATTTCGTTATTAAATAATTGGCGACCATAAAAATTAAAAAAAAAAAGAGAAGTGAAAAAACAATGAGCTATAGCCGAACGCGGTGCTCTGTCCATTAGGTACGGTAAATGGTTGAGCGGCATGTGACGTCACGCGGCAAAGTCTTCCACGGTTCAATGTTAACTGCCGGAGCGTCCCAGTCTTACGACCGTTTACTCCATGCAAAGCACCAATCATCTGTACCACCTATGTCCACCTGATCAGCTTCATGGATTGTAAAAATACCCGACAACCGCGGTAATCTAATAACCTAACCACTGTGATTCCATGTCAACAGCGCCCGGGCTTGGAAACAAAACACCAAATGTATTCAGTTATAGACAATGTGAGTATAACTTAATGTAAGAGCTGGGCAACACTGGCCTCGTCGTTAATGATGCTACCACCTACCACCCACAAGCCGGGACCGTTTGGCGCCTCTGCCCACTACTCTCAAATTCTAAATATGATTATAATATATTATTTTTAACAAACCTGTGTTCATTAGCCGGCGTTGCACATTGCCCGATTGCTATCGTCATAGGTACTCCTTGATGTGTTGGCGTTAAAACCAGAACCTACATATTAGTATTTTGAAACAGTAAAAACCTTGACAGAGATTTTTGAAAAAATACTGTTATTTATGTCATTAAAAACGATATATATCATGTATTGCTATTCCAATATATCTATTACATTCAATCAAAATATTGGAGAAGGCAATTAAAAATCCCTGTATATAAAAAAATATTTTATATCCTTAACATTATATTTAATTTGAAATTTTGCGATTCAGTTTAATGAATAAGATGTATCTAAAGTTATTGTAAAAACTGATACCTTATTGCATTAAAAAGCACACCTTGTCAATGAATGTAGGTAACTAATAAATAGTACAACGCTAATATATTAATAATTATTTATAATACTATTTATTTGGTTTAAAAGTGAAAAAATTATTTTGCCATTACCCTTCAACAATTTTTTTTAACTAAAACATACAAAATACAGCTTTAATAGTAAATATTTAATGTTTTATGATATGGGGTGTCTTCTAAAATAGCAGCATTCTCTCTTCGATAACCCCAAAGATAGGTATCCACCATTATAGAATTGCAAATCTTGTGCACCTGATGTTGAGTCATTAATTTCTTCACTTCACATACAATTTCATTAACAGCTACAACAGAAGCTGCTCTAATCTCCACTTCTTCTGGTGTATCATGTTCAAGAAGAATATCTTTAATTTAAAAATTAATTGAGTATTGATAATTTCCCTATTACACTATACATAAAACATTTTTTACCTTGTTTAAGAGTTTCTTTTAATTTTTCTGAGTATTCTAAAACACCAAAATATAATAGAACTTGAGGAACTCTGAAATAATAATTAGTTTTGTGCATTAATAATTATTATTTCATAAATCAAATACCACATGCATTTAATTTTAAATATAATGAATTTCTAAATTGTAAAACACTATTTTTTAAATGCATATTATTGATTTTTGATAAACATTTCTTAAATATGTTAAAAGTGTGAATAGCAGGACTATCATAAATTCTTAAATTAGGTTTTTATAAATAAAAATATGATTCAAATTGTAAATAATTATTCAAATTACCCAAAAATAGTTTGTATCTTATATTTAATGTCAGTTTTTAGTGCTATATGTAAAGAATTAAATTTAATTATAAATTAAGCTATTAGTATTATTATTATTCAAGTTTTACTACAATAATCTTACCTATAATCTGCAAACATAGTTAAAGTATCTATATCATGAAATTCACCAAAGCCAGAACCCCTAAATGATGACCAAATGTCAGCAATCAAAATTTGAGCCCTTTTATAGAAAGCAACTAAAAGATAAATTAGTCAAATTATTCATTAGTTATTTATTAACATGTAATACAGCTTTATAAATATTACCTTTTAGTCCATTATAAATAGATTCATCTCGAAAATAAGAAAAATTTTCAGATATTATTTCTAATAACTTTTGAGCTGAGTGATTTGCTTCTAATATACAATTTACAAAATTTCCTAAAAATAAAAATTTATTATTTTTAACTAAATTATATAAATATAATCATAGCAAAAATATGCTAAAAAGTATATTTATCAATTTAAACATTTTTGATAAAAAATGAATCACTAAATTAAATATTTCTTTTCCTTTTTCTGATTTAACTTTATAATTTTGCTAAACTTATAGAGCCAGCTTTGTCGTTGCGATTATGACTGCAGCAATTAATACTTTATCATTACTGGCGAGGTCATATCTGTCAATAGGTCTAGTACAGTGGTAGGAACTGACAGGGTGCAATTTATAAATTCTCAAGCATGTTGTACTAAATATTATTTACTCTGATGTGAAACTAGGAATTTTACGCCCGGGAAAAATGTTAAAATTACACCCTATCATAGAACAATTATCAAATACTCTTCTCAAGAATTGTTTTCTAATAATTAATATACAATCATATTTATTGAGTTATAACCTAATATCAGTATTTAACAAAGTTAAAAATATCAAATTAATTGTTAATAATTAAAAAAATTACATCCTCTAAAATTTTACACCCAGGGATGAATCGTCTTCTTTCAGACCCTAGTTCCGCCTCTATATTAACAATATTATATTCAATAATATTAGTGAACTACTTAAATAAAACCTGTTGTTACACGTTTATATCATTGACACCAACGATCTACCATTGAAAAATATTTTAATTAAATATAAAAATTGTTTTACCTAGAAATAAAATGATACCTTAATATACCTTTATATTTTTGTAATAAAACAGATGCAGACTGTTGTACACACAAATATCTTTGTTGTAATAATGGAAGAGTAGTTCCATCATCTCCTAAAAATATTTCATCCAATTGTGTTTTCGTTAAATCCAAACATGTTTTCATGTCAGTCATTTTTATTCCATTCTGCAAATAAAAATTAATTATTTTAATTACTTAATAAATGTAGTAAAATAAAATTAAGTTTTTTTTAATTTTTACAAACTTCTATAGCTCTATTAATAGCTGCGCATAAACCAAAATATCCTGAATATTTATTATTTTTCCATGTAACAGTCCAATGACATTTATTATTAGGATCAATAAAACAGTAATTTATAGAATCAACAAGAAATATCCAATTTATTGCTTCTTCATCTTCATTTTTTGGATGAAGTGTACATTTTTTGAACTCGTCAAGCGTTAATTTTTCTTCTTTTACCAATAAATAAATCTTAAAAAGAAAATAGTTCCAAAATTATGTAAAATTTGACATGATTAAGACTTTATTTTTTAATAGACAACTTGCATGTATTATATATAAATTAAAATATTATAATTAAATAGTTAAATAGAAACATTGACATTTTTATTTATATATAAACTCAAAAACTTTAAATAATTACTCATATAAAATCTTTATGATTAATTAAAAGCTTAATTAATTGTGTCACCTTATCAAGTTACTATTTGTTAAAAAAATTAAAATATGTACTTAATATAATTCCTATTACTAATAAATAGTGCTTGATTATTTTTTAAAAAACTGAATTTCCAAAATAATGTAGTGATACAGTTTAATTGCAATATTACATACAATATTGAATATATCTATGTATTTAAGTATTTAAATAATTAAATAAATTATACCTTTTCAGCCAATTTTGGAACATTAGATGAAACAATTTTCACATCTTTTGATTGTCTTACTACTTGTTGACAAGTATTTAATACTTGTAAAACCATTTTAATTAAGTTTTTATTTTAAATTAAATACTTTTTAAATATAAAAATTCAAATTTCAAAAAAATTGATAGGGACATAATAAATTATTAACCTAAGATGTAAAGATGTAAAAACCACACCTAAATACTCCAATATACTTGACTAATAAAATGAAAAGTTACTAAGCAGTGAGTATAAAATTGTGAAGTAGACTAGTCAATAGTCATACTAAAATTATTATTAAAATATTTACCTGATTTTATATATATATATATTTATAACATATAGGAATTCATTTGGTGATAAATTAGTAACATATTACTGATAAGTGCACGTGCTCGTTGATAAAATCTTATCACTTAAACCGGTTATAATATAAAAAATTAAAAACATTAACAATTTATTTGTTTCCAAATAAACTAAAATTAAAATTATCCCATTATTGTAGATGCTTAGTTTTATTTATTAATTTCGGTGGTAAAAAACATTGCTAAATAAATACTAACCAAACATTACATTTGTCTAATTCAGTTTCATTATTATATATGTATTTACGTTCTAGGAACAAAATCATCATAATAATTGTTAAAGATTAAATATTTAATAACATTATAATAAATAAACGTTAAAAAAATTATCATTTTTAATTTTCATAAAGTTTCCATGTATAATTTACATAAATATTTATATTCTTTTCGTTCAGTAAGATGGTTTCATTCTGATGATTCAACTATAAAGAAATCCATATTTTTACCAGTAACAAAATTTAAAAATCGGTTGAATGTTAATCAAACTATTCTAAGAGATTATGATATTTTTAAGGTAAATCTTGAATAATTTAAAATGCATTATCTATAAATATATTTACTAATAAAAAATAATTTTTGTAGACCTGTAGTTTTTCTGAATTGTATTCTTGGCAAAGGCAACATTTGAGCAATGAAGAATATATTTTACATGATGGTCCACCATATGCCAATGGGTCGGCACACATGGGACATGCTATTAATAAAGTAATATCCTCAATTATATTATTTAATTTATTTTATAATACAATTTATATTATTCTACAGATCCTTAAAGATATAACTATACGTTTTAAACTTGTAAATGGAAGTAAAATTAATTATATTCCCGGTTGGGATTGCCATGGTTTACCAATTGAATTAAAAGCTGAAAATATGTATGGGAGTAAATGGAAAAATTTTAGCGCTTTGGAAATAAGACAAAATGGTAAGAAATCATGGTATTTAGCAACTAACTTAAAAAGTAATTCTTTGTCATCATCTATTATACTGGTATTAGTTAAAATATATGTTAATAATTCTTATTATTAAATAAGGTATAAGTTACCAGTGGCGTATTTTCAACTTTTTCTGGGAGGTTCCACAGTTTATACATAATTAATATAAACTATATATTATATTGTAATAGTTACGTCTTTATGCAGTTTTTGGAGAAGGTTGAACTAAATATATAGTGTAATAATTGTATAGTCTTATGTAATATATATATATATTGTATTTATCACTATTGTATTGTTATAAAATAAATTCTAGTCATCTCGATATCTTGGCCAACTCCTCTATCCAAGCGTGCCTGCAGGTTAAAATCCCACCCGGGGCAAGATTAAAATTCTAAGGGCCAAAGCAACGTGTATCTAAAAATAGATGAAAACAAAATCAAATACCATAGAAATCGGTACTATGAAGAATTTATAGTTTTAAGCAATATGCAATCATATGTAAACATTGTATACTAATAAATATATTCAAGATTATATATTTTAGATTATCTAAAAATATAATAAATTTTACTAAAATTCATAAATGGATCTCAATAGAATTATGTTATAATTAATATGCGTGGTATTAAATTAACAATAGTTTTGAAACAAAAATTCCCAGTAGAGGCAATGGTCCCTTTTTCATCCCCCTGCAGGCGCGCATGCCTCTATAACTTCATCAACAGTAATTTCAACTTCCCTGTGAATGTTTAACATAGCCAATTCTGCAAATATGTAAGAATTTTAGTTTATTTTTTATTTTTTGTAGAGATTCTGTAGGGGGATCCAGTACCCCTGGACAACCCCCCCCCCCCGTAAATACGCCACTGTAAGTTACTGAGGTATATTAATTATTAGATACAATCTAAGTTTTTAAAAATAATTGTAACTTATTTTCACTGTAACTACATATATATTTCCAGCTAGAAAATATGCTTTGAAAGAAATAGAAAAACAAAAAAATGTTTTTAAATCATGGGGTATACTTGCTGATTGGGAAAACAATTGTTATTACACTTATGACAAAAATTATATCAAAACACAAATTCAACAATTTTTTAAATTATATAATAAAGTAATTTTAAATATTATTTTTTAAATTCAAAAATATAAATATTTTATATTATTTCAGGGCTTAATTTATAGGGATCTTAAACCAGTTTATTGGTCACCATCATCCAAGTAATTTTTACATAATCATTTCCTATATTTTTCTTAACTTTATTATTATTTTAGAACTGCTCTAGCTGAAGCAGAATTGGAATACAACCCTAATCACCAAAGTAAATCTATCACGGTCAAACTTGAACTTTGTCCTTCTACTCTTTCAACAGATTTAAAAAATCATAACAATGAACCTATTTATGCACTTATTTGGACTACTACACCTTGGACATTACCAGGAAATATTGCTGTTGTATATTCTCCTAATTTATTATACTCTTTCATAAAAATTCAAGACACCCCTGGTACTTATTTGTTAGCAACTGATCTAGTACAAAATCTTAGTATCAAAATAGAAAAATCTATTGAAATAATCACAACAATTGAAGGTAAGTTCTAAAAAAATGTTTAGCAAAATATTATATTGTAACTTTATAGGTCAGCAACTAAATGGTTTAAAATACAGAAGCTTAAAATCCGATGAATGTGATAAGCAATTCTTGCCTGGAAATCATGTTACAACAGATAAGGGCACAGGATTAGTTCATACTGCACCTGCATATGGACATGAAGACTTTTTAATTGCATTAAAACACAAGATACCTATTGTAAGAATACAAAAAAAATAGATTGTATAACTTAATTAATATTCTTATGAATAATCTAATACAGTATTAATTAAAATATTTATAATTACAAATTACAATTGTTTTAGGAATGCCATGTGGATGAATGTGGTATCTTTATGTCTCAGACATGGTCAGAACTTGTAGGTTTACCTGTTTTAGACATTGGTAATGATACTGTCTGTTTGTTATTGAAAGATAAAATATTGCATACAGAAATATATGAACATAGTTATCCTTACGATTGGCGCACTAAATTGCCTGTAATTATTCGTGCCAGTAAACAATGGTTTTTGGATACAGCAACTATTAAAAACCAATCAATTGTAAATATATGATTTATATTAAATGATTACTTTTCTAGTATGCCATACTTGAATATCTTACATTTCATCACATTACATTTCAAATTTTACTCAATTGTATAAATAAAAATTCTTTTAAGTCTCATAATTATATCTTATATAATTACATCATTAGAACCACTGTTAAACTATTTAAAAATCAAAGAATAATAATGATATTTTAGTAAATAAGAGTACTTATTAGTCTTGGTTGTTTTTAATGATAAATAATAAACATTTGGAGACAATAAATGTATATTTTGATTTTTCTAAATTTTATAAATTAATTTTTATTTCATAATAATAGGAATGTTTGAAAGATATTAAAATATATCCTGAACTTAGCGGAAGTCGTAAAGCTCTTTTAACATTAATTGAAAAACGACCATATTGGTGTATATCCAGACAACGTTCATGGGGTGTAGCCATTCCTGTTTTATATGATGAATCAGATAAAACTATTATTGATGAGTGAATATTTTTACTATTAATAATAATTTTAATGAAAGTCTGCAGTGTTTTTTTTTTATTTTCAGAACATTATTGAACAATTATTATGCCTTATTGGAAGAAACAGGACAAGATTTTTGGTGGTCTCATGATGTGCAAAAATTGATATCAAACACGCCATACAGTCAAAAAAAATTGAAAAAAGGACTTGTATGCATATATATGTATATATGTATTTAAAAATTATTATTTATGGATTTTTTGTAAAATTATTTTTTACAGGATATTCTAGATATTTGGTTTGATAGTGGCATTTCTTGGAGTTGTGTATTGGGTGATAATAAAATTGCTGATTTGTATTTGGAAGGCATTGATCAATGTACTGGCTGGTTTCAAGCATCATTATTGTCATCAATTGCGTTAAGAAATGTTTCACCGTATAAGTAATAAAATATTATAGTATATTTAAATGTTGTACTGTATATTATAGTTATTCAATCATTTAGATCTTTATTTATACATGGTTTTGTTGTGGATAAGAATGGTAAAAAAATGTCTAAGTCTATTGGAAACGTAATTGATCCTCAAGATATAATAAATGGAAATTATGATAAATCAGTAAGCGGAATCGATGTACTCAGGTAAATCTAATGAATCTAATAATATTATTAATAAATTATCTAATTTATATTTGTGTTAAACACTATTAGATGGTGGGTTGCTAAACATGGATCATACCAAACAAATATTCCAGTTACAAAAGAGACCATAATTGATAGTAAACAATCAATTGATAAACTTCGCCTTATTATTCGTTTTTTACTTGGCTCACTTAATAATGTAAAAGAGGATAATTTTAAATGTGGAATTAATCATTTAAATTATTTAGATAAATATATGATATTAGAACTTAAATCATTTGAAAATGAAATTAATATGCTTTATTGCTCATTCCAGTATAATAAAGTATGTGCCAAAATATTAAATTTTATTACAAACCAAGTTTCTGGATTATATGTTCACCATATAAAAGATAGGTATAATTTGTGAAATCTTCATATGAAGAAATATTATTACACTTTCGTGTTTTAGGCTTTATTGTGATTCTATTGAATCAGATAACCGACTAGCATGTACAGCAACATTACAAGCTATATTTGAAATTCTTCTAAAACACATTGCACCAATTTTACCTCATTTAGCTGAAGAAGCATTTTCTTTTTACTCACAAAGTAATTTTATTACAAGTACCTTTATATATATATATATTATGTTTGCATATCTTATTATTGTTTACCCATTATTTATTTTAGGAAAATCTACATTTTTTAAATCATCCATTATATCTCTTGATCACATAGTAATTTCAGATCCAGAAAAAGTATTATCTATAATAGAAAATGCTTTAATGATAAAAAGTAAAGTATCATATTTATTACAAGGAAAAAATTCACTCGAACATTCAATTATTCTTTCTGCGCCTAACAATGTTTTTAATCTATTAAAGGTATGAAAAAATATTGTTTTAAATAATATATTAAGTATATAAATTAAGAAAAAAATTAGTGAAAAATTATTTAAAAAAATAAAAAATGATTACAAATAATGGAAAAGGTTAACAAGAATGATTCTGATAGGTCAGGGACATCCAGCTTATAACATAGCAATAAATAAAACTATTTCATTTAAAATGTAAAAAAGCTTCTTTACATAAAATTATTTAGTTTATAATATTCAATATATAATAATAGTTATATAGATATTAGATTTTGTATTGATTACAAATTGATATGTTATTGTAATTAATTGTGTTGTACATGTGAAGTTTAATTTTGTTTAAGATTTTGCATCCTAAAAACACTGCTAGAAATTCGGATTTAATTGAATTACTTCAAGTGAATTCAATTGATTTAATTGTTAACAATACTATTGAAGTAAAAACAAGTGATGCAAAAGGATTTTTTTGTAAACGATGCCGCAGGTGGTCAGCAGAAAAACAAGATGAATTATGCAAACGATGTGAAAAAATCTTTAAAAACTTTTATTCAAAATAAAAGAATTTAGTAATATTTTAATATACATTAAATGTATTATTTTGAAACCTTTATGATAATATTTTTACTGTAATTTAAGCTTTCGATATTCTGAAGCCTCTTGTGTCAGCTATCCAATTGTACGTGATGAGCCGTCCATCAACATTTGTAGTATATGAACCCCGTTGAACAAGAATAGCATCCTGTCCTTCATCATTTGGCAAAAGTTTACCCATCTTCTCTTCTCCAGTTCCATCATCTAGCTTATAACTGTAATTTTTCACATTTAATGTATAATTGCATAAAGATTATTTATTAATTTATTACCGTGATAAGAATTGACCAGAGTCATCTCTTTTATTTGTTAGAGAAACTAATTCAACTGGATTGCAATTAATTACATTTAGCATAATACAACTAAATAAAAATAATATTACCTAAGAAAATATAATAATTTTAACTGTAATATTATTTATAATTTGTTTTATATATACTGGAAATATAAACGAGTTACTTACGAATTTCATTGTATACAATTTCTATAGAGCTATATGGAGTTGATTGTGTATGTAAGCTATTCAACCATGAGACTGCAATATAAAGTGAAATTCCTTCTTACTTATTTTATTTATTTTATTTTTTATGTGACTGTTGTGTTATTGCCTTGAAAATTTAACGCTGAATTATGTTTCGGGGTGTCAAACTGGTTTTACTAATGTATTCTTAAATACACACACAAACACACATACATGTATTGTATATATATAATATACGGACAACTGACAGTGTTTACAGGACATCAATTATGGTTGGATAATTTGTATGTGACAGAATTAAATAATTTTTAAATACTTAAAAATTTATTATGCAAAAGTAATCTGATATAAAATGACATAAATTATAATGTCACAAATAAGGCAATATTAAGTTGTATTAAAATGAACCTGTTATGCTACTTTACATATGACCTTTTACTTTTGTTGTTAGTTTTTCAAGTATTTAGAATGATTAAATTTTAAGTTTTATAATTAATAGTTAATAACTAGAATATATAAAAAATTGTATAATTTTGATTATGTAACAAAAATATCACAATAAGTATTAAAAAATAGTAATAAATTAAAATAGCTATCATTGAGTATAATATTAATTCTATAGGGGAAAAATTCCCATAAAATATAGTTAAGTTCATCTTGAAAGAGAAATAATGACCTCATCTAATTTTATTATCATAGTATATTTCAATGCATTATAATAAAAACAAATATAATTTTAACCCCACATCATATAGTAAGAATATTTTTACTAAATTATATTTCTATAGAATTTATACTCAATGCTAATATAATTTAAATGTAATGCAACAATATAATAGCACAGATAAAATTGTCTAAATAAGTTAGATTGAAGTACATAAACTAATACTAGTACATTGAGCAGATAAAATTAATAATATCAAATTTTACTCATAGTTTTAAACATAAGTTTGTTAACTGTAAATAAACTACAAATATTTTGAATTTAATTAAACATCAATAAAACCAAAATCATTATTTAAAAGATGTGAAAATGTATGTAATTTTTAAGATTAAATTTAAAAAAAACATGTAATTTAATATCACATTTTACTATAAATTCAAACAAAATTAATAAATAATTAATATGTTTCGGTTATTTTAAAATATAAAATAATAATTGTTTATCTGGAGTATAATATTGAAAAAAATTATAATTTGGTTTTTATTAGTATAGAAATAGATTTTAAATAGCTCAATCATTTATATATAGTTAATGGTAACAAAGTATATCTTATTGAATAATTTCAACATAATTTGCAGGAAATAATCCATATTGACCTTTACATAGTCCTCTCCACCAACCTTTATCGATCTGAAAAAAAATGATTTAATTTTAATATTTAAAATAATAATTATCTTGGCAATACCTTTAAAAGGAAAAAGTGTAAATCAATATTGAACAATAACAAAATAATTTATATAATTAAAATACATTTTAGTTCATAAATGTAGTTAATATTAAATGTAGTGAGTATATTAAACATTATTAATGTAAATTCACCAACATCCTATATGTAGTTTGATGAAATGAAGCAAACGTCAAAGGTACTATCTGAGAAGAAGCCAATAAGATTTAAAAATATAGAGAATACAGGCAGTTATAACGCAAATAGCATAGAATAAGAAGAGATAAGAAAAAGGTAACGAGAGGTATAAAGAAAATGAAAGTTGAAGATAAGAGGGTAAGTTAGAGAAAGAGATGATTGCATTGGATTGATAAAGATACAGAGATAGTTGGTATCTGTGAGCAAAAAGTGGGAGACAGAATTTTGTAAAGATTGAAAATGAGAGTGGACCGACTGATAATGTATAGTAGATAAAAAAAGGTGAGGTTCAAGAAAAATATTTGAACTCAGTAGTAAATATGAATATTTTACATACTAACTCTAAAATAACAGTATTGCATAGATTTAGATACTTACCATTTCAATATTTGTAACAATATCATCAGGATCAAAGCTTATTTCATCATCAGCCGCTAAAAATTAAAATATATTCAAGATTAAAAACATAATTTAAACTTTTTTATGTATTTTATTTTATTTGAAAAATGCAATAAGATATTATGTTGAATTTAATTATAAAACATTCGTGTATCAATCTAAAAATGATTATATAAATAAATAAATAAAAACTCAGCCTGAAGTATTATTATATTTGAAAAGTTTTGAATTAAAAATTTATCATATACAAAGTATAGAATATATATATATATATTTGTTACCGGCAATATGGATAATCCGATATTTTACAAAATGCCTAGGCATTATATAAAATGCCAAAAATCACTTGGCAATATACATAATACGAGCTTTGCCTAGGTATTATGTATAATGTCAATTGTAGAATAGACAATATGAAGAAAACAAACAAAATTGTCGTTTATTAGAAATGTGCGTTCACGATTTAACGCAATAAATATTAATATTCCTTTACTACTACAATAATAATTCTGAGAAATAATATTGAACTAACTAATAATTTTATCACAATATCGTAATTTTTCTCATCATTTTCGTGTCTTGTTTTGGTGTTTCAACTATGCATACAATTTGTATGAAATTAAATTTTTATAACAAACTACAAAATTTTTTTAAAAAAATTTGGCCACTAATACTAGTTTTTTATCTGATGACAAGTATGAATTGATAAAAATTCAATCCACAAGAATTGGCCAAGGATTTAAAATGTGTTTGTAAGTCCAAGTGTCAACATAAAAAGTGTATTTTCCTTAAAAATAACATTTTGTTCACTTCAAAATGTCACTTTTCTGCAATATGTTTTAATAAGTAAATAGTAGTTTAAGTAAAATATTTATATAATAATAAATAAAAATTAAATTATGTCTGTAATATGAGCATAATGTATAATAATTATAAGAATCTTAATGTAATATAACATATGATAAAAATGTTTTGTACTTTGCCTAAAAAAATTGGTATTTTGCATAATGCCTAGGTACTTTATAAAATACCTAGGTTATATGTAAAATAATATTGAAAACCATATGTTTTATTTACATTGCCTAAAATAGGTTGGCAATTTGCATAATTCCTAGGTATTTTGCAAAATACCTGAATTATTCATATTGCCGATAACATATATATATATATATATATATAAAGTATATACAATCAATAAAATCGTGACTAAATATGAAAAAATACATTGAGAAAAATTAGTAATTTTACATAAAAATAATTTATATTAATAAGAGAGATTATATTGTGTATGTGTAACTCTTCTAAGACTGAATTAATGTAAATGTTATTTTGAGTATTTAATATTTCTAAGTCTGTATTTATTGATATAAAAATGTATATTACGGTTATTTTTTAAAACATGTTTAGCAAAATTTACTTACATGCTTGATAATCATATAAAGCCACAGCAGTATATCCACCTTCTGGTTCTTCTTCTGATATAGCTCCATTTTTAAGCTGTTCATGAAGTTTTTGTTCTTCTAATTGTCTTTCTTCTTCAAGTCTTTTTTGATCTTCTTTTTTCTTCGTCTCTTCTTCTAACTTTCTTTTTGTTTCTTCTTCTAATTTTTTCTTTGTTTCTACTTCTAATTTTTTATTTGCTTCTTCTTCTATTTTTTTTTTTGCTTCTTCTTCTAATTTTTGTTTAGTTTCTTCTTCTGATTTCTTTTTAGCTTCTTCTAATTTTTTTTTACATTCTTCTTTAGCCAAATTTTCTAATTTTAATTGTTCATTTTCTCTTTTTAATTCTTCATATCTTCTTTCCTCTTCTTCCTTCTTTTTTTGTAAAATATTTTCTCTTTCAATTCTAGTTTGTACATCTTTTCGTTTACGATCTTCTTCTTCTGCTTCAATTCTTCTTAATACTTCCTCATCATTCTTTATACATGGTTGAATAGTTGCACCAACAACAACTGGTGGAAGAATAGACTCACTAGCTATTGGTGGTTCTTCATCATCATAATCAATTTTCTAAAATATAAAAACGTATTTCAATTAAATTTTATACTTAGATTTTTATTAAACATAGAAATTATTTTAACATTATTGAATAAATTTTAATAGGTGGTAAAAATATAATTTATCATCAAATTAATAAACCAATAATATTTTAAGAAATGGCCTGTCTCTTTAGTAAAAAATTGTATCTAATGTAAACTATATCTCTATAAATACTACAGTAATAAGTAAATTAATAAAATTAGGTATCTTATAGAATATATAATTTATAGATAACTACTTAAAACTTTAAAAATATGAATACATTTAGAACTTAATTTTTTTCCTTTATGTAGTCTCTTGTTATCAAATCATTCTATATATATAATATAAATTTCTACATTAAAATAATTTATAAATTTTAAATTAAATATACCTGTAATTCAACATAAAATTTATTATAAATACAATATTTAATTTAATTGTATATTTTTTTATTTAAAAATACAATATTATAAGAAATAATTATAAAAAAATTAAATTTTATATTACTAAATCATGGTTAAAATATTTTAATTTAATAAACTTTTTTAAAAAAAAATTATTCCTTATAATTAACTAACATACATTACTTACGGCAATTGGAATATTTATTTTAACTTTTTCAGGCCCATCTAAAAGCCTTTGTTTCTGTTCTTCTTTATCTTGTAATTCTTTTAAACGTTTTTCTTCTCTTTCGCGAGATTCTTTTTTTTCTAGTAATTCTCTTTGTTTTCTTCTCTCTTGTTCTGCTAAACGTCGTTTTTCATTTTCTTCTTCTTCTTGCTTTGCCATATTTTCAAATTTTGCTCTAAGACTTGATGGTTTAATACTTGCTAGATATAATTACACAATTATTAATAATGAATTAGTTAATAAAACATTCTATACTTCAAAGTTTATTAATTACTTATTTCTGGTTTTTCTTTTTGATAATTTGTCCCAACTTGACCAGAACATTCAGTATAACTATGAGCAGATTTATCAATTCTATCATTTTCCACGCCAAACTTCCCTCCAAAACCCTAAAAATGTTCATATAGATTATTAAAAAATGAATATATTACCTTTAAAAATAACTTACTTTACTGTGATCTACTTGACTTTGATGTTTTTCAACAGTTTCTACACTATCCCATCCAACAGCAGACTTATCTTGGCGATCTGACTGTACACCAAATTTTCCACCAAATCCAACAGCATAATCTAATAATCACAAAAATGTTACATATGTATAATTTTTATACAATTATGTAAGACATTTTTTAAATAAAACCTTTTTGAGATTCATGTTTTTGTAATTTTTCAACATAGTCCCAACCAACAGCACTTTTATCTTGACGATCAGCTTCAACACCAAACTTTCCACCAAATCCAGAACTGTAATCTTTCTGAGATGTATGTTTTTCAATTTTTTCTTTATGATTCCAACTTACAGCACTCTAAATTATAAATTGCAATTTCACTATGAAATATAATCCATACAATTTCATAAAAATAAAAACAACTAATATTTTTTAAAATAAAGTAACTTCAAATGAAACCGTGCAATACCTTGTCAATTCTATCTGATTGAACACCATATTTACCACCAAAACCAGTACTGTAATCAGTCTGTGAAGCGTGTTTAAATTTAGGTGCAACATAGTCATGTCCAACAGCTGATTTATCCATTCTAATAAAAATTAAGTTAAAATTAACTATACAACAAAGAATGATAAAAAAATTACTATTTTGTTAAAGCTACCTGTCAGATTGTACACCAAATTTTCCACCATAGCCAAAAGCCGCTTTAGGCCCCTCTTCCATTTCTTTTTTTTTTTGAACCTCGTGAGCTTTGGTAACTTCTTCTCGCAGTTGGCTCATACTAAATAAAATATAAGTTAAGTTGTAGTACAACCAAAATAATATTTAAACAAAAAGAGGTACAACAAATGCAATAAAATATAAAAACAACTAACTCGACATGATCTAAAACACGACCAGAACCAGGAACTGTACGAGAACCCCATCGTTGTTCTTCCTCGCTCACGTCATTTACAAAATCTGGATCAGTCTCCCAATCATCATCGGTGTTTTCAACCGGTATGTCCACATTAACACCTACAGATGACTTCCACATAATTTTAAAATAAAATAATAATCAATAAAAATCTTCTCGTTCGCAAATCACTCTAAATCAATGTACTATATAACAATGTATTAAGTTTTTCACTCAACTCTCCGGGCGAAACAAAATTATAAACTTTAAACGGTAAAACGATCAGAAATGTGTAAATAAACGTAAGAGATTAATGACTAATAGGCCAAATCACAATAGCCCCTACTGTTTTCTAAATTGATCTGTACACACAGATCCGTCTGTTATCTTATCAACTTCCATAAAAAAAGACGACAACAAACCAAAGAAATCTGTCTCTATCTCTGATCATTATTATTATTATTATTATTAATATTATTTATTATCATAAACCATTACAATTCACGACATTATTTGATCATGTTTTAAACAACACTTCTTATTGCTTTTTACACGTTTGCAACTACAATTTCGAAACACCGAAGGCACAACAAAGCCGAATATACTCTATTTAGGCAAATGACAACATTTGCGGTTGTACCGGAACGGTTCGCGAGTGCCGTTCTCGTCCAGACGGGCGCCGAAGCGAAAACGCACGTTCCGTGGTACTCGTTTTCGGTCTAATTATAAAAATCCCCGTGTGACGCACGTATCCGTCCGGCAGCGGCTGCAGCTGCTGCGGACAACCGGTCCAGTCGCCGCGCTAACGGTATACGATTTATCGAAAATAATGACTGATTGTTGCGACAAAACAAAAATTGTCGTCATCGTTGGAAATCGACGGTGGCATCGGTAACCACGTACCCACTGGCGTCGCACATGACTCGCGCGTGCACAACATGGATCTATTGCAAATGCACGTGCTCGGTTGCGTCAGAAGACGTGTTGAAAACATTCGGTTTTGACCGCCCGTTCTCCGATCCGATGTTCTATTTGCGGTGGTTCCGGTCGCCGGGCAAACGATGTATGGTGCAAACGACGGCAAAAGCGCAGTTCTGTGCACCCGCAGCGGTCGCAGCAGTGTCGTTACGGATACCTCTCGGGCGAAAGGGGGGTGACGGGAAGTATGTACCTACGGTGTGTTGCGGTTTCTACGGCAAACCGTATTCGTATAAATAATGATCGCGTACACAGCGAACGTATACTTCACCGTTCGTCTTAAGCAGTTCAAAATCACAGCACAACGGTGCCCACGAATACATACCACCTACAGCCATTTGCCTACTACCCTGATCGCTGTTACCTATACATTCGATTGTCGAAGTTGAAGTTCCTGCGACCACCGTCCGCCGACGTTCTCCAGACACGTCGTACCATATTACACAAACATACATACACACAAACCGTCCGGTTCACCATGTTCGCAATAATCGTAAGTATACACACACACGTGTACATGATCCGTTACTTATCGTATATGTATTTGATTAACGGAGCAATATCACTGTATACGTTTTTAGTTTACAAACCATAAACCGACCGAATCGAAATCCAAAACATTTATAAGAAATATTTTTATATAGATGGTTGATCTTATTTATATGTACCACATAGTTTTAAGTTTTGTACGTCGTGGGTTTCGCGGATCTGTTCCAACAAATTTCTGAACGCTTTACCTAAAACTTAGCTTAAATTGGACAATCTGTGTACACGTATAATTATTTCAAACATGGAACATTTAGTTTTCAAATTTGCTTGCAATTTTGAATTTCAATAACAGCATATACATTGATACTAAACCGATTATACTTAACAAATATACGAGTAATAATACTCCGGGTAAAGCATTTATTTATTTTTTTATATAAAATATTCAAAAAATATAAAATATAAATTAAATAGATACTTAAAAATATAAGATAAAATCCATTTTTTTTTGCATTATTTTGTGTCTTTTTATAGCTAAAATTCATATTTTATGTTTTTTTTTGTGCGTATTCGGTAATTCTTTAGTGCATAAATGCATACACATAGGCGTCACTAAGGGATATCGAGGGATTCGGTTATCTTTACAACCCCACAAATTTTTGTAAAGGTATCTTTTTGCTACCCCAAAATAAGTTACAGATTTTAAAAATATATTCGAAGTTTATTATTCAAGTGTGTACGAACTTAGACCATCTATTATTGGGATTGTATCCAAAATAGTTATATTTTGTGATAAGTCCAACACGGACAATAAAACATGTGTACACTATACGTCATACCAAGATTTATGAAGAAAAGGTTATCAGTTAAGTAATCCAGTTAAACCAGTTATCATGTTAAACCTTTAAAAATGTATTTTTTAACTTTCTAAAAATAAACTACCCCAAAATTTGGACTTAAATGACGCTAAAATAAATGTGTGCATACATATTACAGTTATTTTAAATATGCATAAACATTCGTGTGCTAATTATTTTTAGTAAAAAATAATGTCTGTTCATTGTTTTCACGTACCCAGGCCATCGTTTTCGCGGTCCAAGCCACAGCAGTGTTGGCCGGAGCCCGGTACCCATCCGGACTGAACCCGGCCCTGTGCCCGAACTATCCGCACTGCGACAACGTGCTGCTTGCCGCGTACGCTCAACCAGGGGCCAATGATTATAGTGGCCAGTACAACAACAACAATAATGACGACACACAACATTACGGGTCTGGTTATCAGCGCCATCCAGCCGTCGGAGCGTACAGCCACTACCGACACCAACAGCCGTCCGTCCCGTTGCCGTACACCGAACCCGGTTACCCGGCCGGCCTTAGTTCGTCCAACTGCCCCAACTATCCGTACTGCTCACACCAGGTGCCCGCCGAAGCGTTAAAGTACGAAGCGCACAACAGGTACCCGGCCGGTGTTACTCCGCATAACTGCCCCAACTACCCGTACTGTTACTGAGGGACATCACATGCACCTCCCATGTATGTACGCGTAGCATTTGGTGCATACTGGTATTTAAATACGCGTACTGGTATCATATTATGTTGTTGATTGTATATTGTTTTGCCACCCTGATTTATATATGACAAAAAATACCCATACTGTACTTCAAATAAATCATATTCTGTAATAAACACTAATCCAATATAATATCTATGGCTTATCGATTTATCTGTGAACTGTTCCTCAATATACCTACGACCGAATTCGTCTTTTGTATAAGAATTAAATGTTATTTAAATAATTATAAAAGTAACACGCATTTGTGTCAATATTATTATAAAATAGTCAAATTTTTCGACTTTGAAAATACGAGTAGTACAGTAAAATTACAAGTTTTTCTCAATATAATTTATACAATTCAATGATGAAGCCCTAAATTTTAAAAAAATTTACTCGATGCTTCCACCTTAGTGTTATCACGGACAGTGGCGGATTTAAAGAGGCCAGAGGCAAGTGCGGATCCAATGTCTCACTTGGCGGGGGGCGTTCTTTTGAAAAAACAACTAACAAAAATATACAAAATGTAAATTTTAAATGTATCGAATAAAAATTACTACTTTTAAAAGTGATGATTTAAAATGCAGCACACCATCAAGTTTCTCAATTACCGTGTTAGGCATATTTTGTTTATTAATTGGTAGTTTAAAATATTCTTTAAAAAAAAAATTGCCTTTTCGTAAAATCATTAAAAAACGCAATTAACTTCTTTTAATATGGTGATAGTATTCCTGACAGACACTATTTTAGATAAATAAGAAAGAGAAATATTTAACACATGATTGAAACATGGACATCGTACATCCAATGGACATTCTTTTAAAATAGTTGTTATGATACCAATATTTTTGAAGTCATTACACTGCATCCATCAATTCCTACCTCTACATACGATTTCAAATTGAGTTCAAGGTCTTTTAAAATTTCTAATACAATATGACCAATAGCAGGTTTTGTTAGTTTTGACTTTCCAGATATATTAACATCATATACATTAATGTAGTGGCGTAGCCAAGGAAGGAGTTTAAGAGGGCTATAGCCCTTCCCTCATGGGTCGTATTTCTGTGCATGTACTATACTAGTATGCTGTAATTTAAGTATTTTATAATTTTGGTACAAACTAAATGTTTACGAATAACGGGTTTTGTCTTTGGTACATAGGCGTATTACTTATCTTACTTATATTTTTGGTGGTTATCATGAAGATTTTCGGCGACTCTCGTCTAACACTACCATTTAACGATTATAATCACTATAGCTGTTATATTATGTCGCAGCGATGCTACTGCAGATAGCCTCTGTAAATTTATTATTTTTATAAATTATATTTTAATAAATATTATTAAAAGTATTTTAAAATACTGGAGATACATTAATAAACTTAGTAGTGGGAAGAAAAAGGGTGAACTCTCAAATCCTTTCTTACCTAACTTGCCCAAAAAAAATGTTTAGACCCTCCCACTTAAAAATCCTAGCTACGCCACTGCATATATGGATTTAGAGACATCAACAAATTGAATAAATCGTATTGAATATATCTTATTGTAAACTGAGTTCGACGTGTGACTAGGCGTAGCCAGGGGATATTACAGGTGTATTAACACCCCCTTTTAACCGTGTTATAATTAAGTCTTATAAAAGTAAAAATTCATCATAAATCGTGACGAAAACATTTTTATCATAACGAAATATATACATAACAATAAAGTAAAGCCGGGATCCGACTTCTCATTACACCGTTTTGTCTAATAAACCAAAGCCGTAGTTTTGTGTCGTATCATACACGATGTAAAATAGGTACCTACATACGACAAAAATGTGCATTAGAAATGTTAATAAAATATTTAAATACTTTCTTATAGAGTAGTACATTACACACGAATATAGATTTATGTGTAATGTACTAATTTGTTTGTATAATTTGTACGTAAAGTAATTATTTTGTATGATTTTGAACAACACCCCCCTTTTAAAATACCTACGCGCCTGCGTGTGACATGTCTGTAATTTCATCGAATATGATAGCAAATACTTCAGTTTTTTTGTATGTTCAATAATTAGGCCATATAAAAATAAATATACGTACCTATATGTAAATTATTCTGCTTTCAATTACTTCCATACATCATAAACTGAATTATTGCATCAACATAAATAATAAAAAATCATAACTAAATATATAGGTACGATCGTATTAAGACAAAGTAACTGTAAAATAAAGTAAAAGCGAAAAAATCATACAACACATAATTTAGTTACTTTGATACCCATTTATGAATTAAAATAGACCATACTATATTAAAAAAAAAATTAAATAAACGCAATGTTCGAAATGCGCGGCAACCTTATCTTGGGTGCCTACCATAATGTAGTTAACCAGCACAGTAATGTTAAAGTCGGTGTAGCGAACGTGTTGGCTCTATATGCAATGGTTTACGACCGTTTGTTTTGTCACAACTAATTAATTTAGCAGTTACATTTACAATAAAAAATTCGTTTCATTGATAGCAAATTTTTTTGGATATTCCAAGCAGCAAATATTCAAGTCTTCAGCACAGATAAGAGAATTTTCCGATTTCTATTTATTTCAATTTAAGTTTTGTAATAAAATGAAAAAGTTTAATCGTAACGTTGTTTGGTTTTAAACAAAAATGTAGTATTATCTATGATAATATAAACTTAAACTAAGTTTAAATACTTTAGCTGACCAAAATATCTCGGTTAACTTAATCTGTGGTTAAGGTCCAGTTAAAATTTAACTAATTGATAATAAAATCATATTTTTAGTTTAACTGAAGTTTAACTTTAAACCGAGTTTAAATTGTCTTAACTGACGTTTGATATGATGACCCAAAGAATTATTAGTCAAAAAAATTCTACCCTATGGCTAGGGTTGCCATACGTCCCGGCAACCGGGATTGTCATCGGTTTTGGACTTTACGTCCCGGTGTCCCAAAAAATATTTTCGAGACGTCCATATGTCCCAGCTTAGACGTTTAGTCGAAATGTAATAATGTTTAATTTTTAATTTCGACCATTTTATCTCAAAGTACATTTTTAATCGTAATCGATTAACAATATAAAATAAAAACATAATTTATAATTTACACTTATAAATATACAAAATATTTTTAAATATTATATTGCCAGCTATACCTCTTCAGTGGTATGTACATAACTTTTGTACGGGGTGATCATTTACAAAAAAATCATTATTTTTATTTTATAATTATTATTTTTTCTACATTACTACCACTCTCACACTAAGAACATTATTTTATAACATTTAAAAAAAGGCCTAGGGGAAGATCTAACCTCCACACCTCCCACTTGCATTCGCTCACTCTATATATCAAAAGTTATAATACCTATAAAAAGTATATTACTCAATATTGTATTTATTTTGTCCCGATTTCGCCTTATAAATGTAAGGCAACCCTACCTATGGCTAGTGGCGCAACAATCGGGGTATATGACATTGTCTAACATCATAGCCTTAAGACTCAAAGAGGGCCTCGTTGTAGACGTAAGCTTGGAAGGTATTTTTAACTTAAGAATTGAGTAGCGTATTTAATGATAAGTAAGTAGTAAGTAGTCTTTATTGAAAAAAAATAAGTAGGAACTACAAAAATTGTTTGTGTTTATTATTAGAAGACTAATATTTGTGGCCGCGGCCTCCCAACCCCGTACCTTATTTATAAAAAAATTTGTATTGTTAACAAAAAATGTATATTATAATATGGACTATCATACGACACATACAAGTATGTAGATAGAGCCATAGAGGTATGACGGTTGAAAGAAGTTTCTCCACACTTCAGAGACTAAATACTTCGTTTAAGGATGACTGAAAATAGACTATCAGCATCTTGTCTAATTAATGTATATCATAAAGTAGATATTCTAGATCAAATAGATCATATTATTGATTTTTTTGTCAATTTTAAAAATAGACGACTTGAATTTGTGTTGTAAAAATTTTTCTTTTCTTTTTGTTATTAGATTTTGTAAAATTATAACTTGCCCCCCCCCTAATTAAGGCTCTGGAGCCGTCACTGTCGGGAATTCGTAAAGTGGATTATAGGCTGGCGGTCGCGGTGACACTACCGTAGCAAACAAATTGCGTCCTAAGATCCCTTTTTCATACCAATTGCTTCCAGATAATATTTAACAACTACATTAATTGCATCCCGATAATATTTAATATCTATACTAATTGTGTCCGATGTAAATACATTATTTTCCTTCACATTTAATACAGACTTAGGACTGTTAATAGACTGTCATTAAATATTATATTGCTATAGGTAGATTAAAAATATTGTTTTCGTCGTTAAATATATAAATAAGAGAGTAAGTAGAAAAAAATTTAAAAAAATTTAAGTTTTATGTGGGTATGTAAGTTATATATGTCTCGGTAAAAATTTGAACGATACAGTTTTGATATACCTAATTAAAACGTGTTATTTTGTTCATTTCGTATTTAATCATTTATTTCTTAAAAATTCTTGTTTTTCACATATTTCACGTCTTATTTTCTTTCTTTGACTACTGTAGCGAATATTTATGTAAGTATCTTTTTATACGTTTTTAAATATATCAATAAATTTGTAGATATTTGGATGAACTAAATAAAACATATAGTTATATTTTGTATAGAAAGCTTCACAGCTATTTTTTGTCCGTGTAATTAAACCTAAAAACATTGTTAAAATAAATCGTTAATAAAAAAATTTAAAAATCATTAAAAATATATTAATAATAAAATAAATAAATTATCATAACGTCACTCACAATTAAACTAATATTTTTATATAGAAATAAAACAGCGTAAAATTGTCAACGAGACGGAATCGAAAGACATACCTACAACCATTGATTAAATATATTTAAATATATTTAATCAATACTACTACTAACCGATAACATTTATTTCATAAATACTCATATTGTCGTATCAATTATTGATTGAGATCATCAAAGGTATATATTCTGATATCAGATAATCGGGACGCAATAATAAGTATATATTAATATGTATATTATATATATATATAGGTATTATATATATTATATCATTTTTCTTAAATATAAATTAAGGAATTTTCTATTTTCTTTCTTCTTATTCTTTTACAAATGAATTTTTTTTGTATATTATTATATGGTAAAATATTTTTGTATAATATTCTGTGCTGTGACCTACTAATTAACTAGCCGACTAACCACTACCATCTATACCAGAGGTTCCCAACCTTTTTTGACCCACGGCACCCTTAATTATTTTCTAAAAATTTGGATGCTCCCTATAGCCTATGCTCTGTTCTCTATAGTTTATATTGAATACGCAATAGTAATATATTACATATTTAAATTTATATTTTGTAACTTCGATTTTATTTAGCATTAATAAACAATAAAGATAAGATAAAGTCACAAGTATTCGCCGTAAATAACTTTAAAACAGTTCACATCAAATGGATAGCAATCAAACCAGTATGAAAATTAAAATAAATTGAACATCTCAGTATTACTAAGTAAAAATTATACGTGTTATATAATTAATACATTCATTATATTGTATATACCTAATTAATTATACACAATAGGTTGTATACTATAGACATAGAGTATAGTCTGTTTTATTACTCACAGTGCCAGGGGCGCACAGTAGATTTTTGACAAGAGTGTCGAAAATATATATTTCGAGGTACCCACCCACCCCCACCAGTAAAATCTAAGTTTAGGCATAATGTAATTCTTATTTTTAAGTGTTTTTGGTTTTTTCTTACTAACAAAGATACTAAAAATAAAAATGTTTAAAATAAACCTAATATTAATTATTTTTCAATTTTTTGGGTATTAATTTATAAGTTTGTATAGCATAATTTTTGGGATTGAGCCCTACTACTAATTCTCATGTGACGCTTTAGTTCTAAGGTAACCATAATTAGTATATTGATTTGGATAGCTAAAAAATTGGTTAGTATTAAATTAAACAAATATTCATAAAAATTCACACAGAATTAGTCATCCACCAATTCTCTAAGGGGTGTCAGTGGACACTCCTGACCCTCCCTGTGTGCGCCACTGCACAATGCTATATTTTTCATGAAGGCGTTTAAAAAAATATATATATTTCAAATATTTTTGTGGCACCCTAAATTTAAGTTCGCAGTACCCTAGGGTGCCGCGACACCCTGGTTGGGAACCTCTGATCTATACCATGAAGTGCTATTACTGAATAGCTTCTTCACACAAGCCAACCACGACCAATTATATCCTTCTATCTATTGTGCTTATTGTAAATATATTTTATACAGATTGTACAAATAAAAATAAATATGACAAAAAAAAAATAAATATTCTGTGTAGTTTAATGGAATGGGCATGACAAAATATTAGGCAATGTCAAGTATGAAACTCAATCTTTGTTGGAGGTTTTGGTAATTTTTTCATTATATTTCTCAATTATTTGAAAAACTTAAATTCTCCATTCAAAATATTAGCTAAACACTAATTTCTATCAGAAAACTTCCATGATAAAAATTGGAGTAATCTGACAGATCAAAATTGTGTACACAAGCACACAAAAAAGAAATCCTACATAACGATAAAACCAATATAGAATATAAAATACTACGAAGAAATTTATAATTTTACAAAATTATATTAAATATATATGGTGTGATATATCTCAAGGAGGAAGTAAGTTATTTATAATTATAACTTATGATGTTCAAACAAAATAATTTCTCAAAATTCTCTTTAGTTTAAAAAAATATAAAGCAATTAATATAATTATGAGACAATACTATAATAGTGATAATCACTGAACTGTAAACGGAGCAATTATAACTATAAAAAGTATAAATAACTAAGTATAATTACTTTTTCGATTATTATTATATAAAACAATATAAATCTTCAAAATTAAATAAATTTATTAAAATAATCATTAGGTACTTATCAACATTCATATACACAGTAAAAAATGTATTATTTATAATATTGATTTAAACAAACAAAAATATTTCTTAGATAACTAAAAATAATAGAATAAAATTTAATTTAGATAAAATCTAATAACTTATTATTATAATATTTTTATCACAAATATATAATCTCAATAATTGAAAAATTATTACATTAAAAAAAAAATAGTTTTAATAACTATGATAATGGCAATGTGTAATTTATTATCATTTGTAAGAAAAATATAAATAATAAATTTATTTCTCAGCACATTTGAATCTTATAGGCAGTATAACTTTTACTACAGAACCCGATATTTTAGTACCATAGTGACCAGCCCAAAATTGTGTATCTACTCCAGAATGATATAAAATCAAGTGATTTGCATCACTTTGATTTTTAAAGGAATGTGATGCCTGAAATAATATAGAAAAAGATTTAAAATATTTATTTCAATAATTAAAACTAAAATATAAAATTTTAAATATATTAAAAGTACACACCTTGGTCCAAATATTTGCTTCCCATTGTGGTAAAACATCATTATAATTGTGTTGTTCTATTAATTTACCATTACTATCATGAATAGCTGCTTTTAATGTATATTTACAACCACAGTCAAAACGACCAGAATACCTGAAATTAATTTAGTTATTACATTTTATAAGAAAAAACATCACAATTTAATATTATGTTTATTACCATTCACTAACAAAAATTTCTGGATTAAGATATTTCATTACAGTGCTGTTCAAACCATAATCTTTAAATATGATTTTTTGTTGTTTAGAACACTGACGATATGTAGACACAAAACAACTCGTATGTCCATCAAAATCTGGATCATTAGGCAATGGAGAAGCACCTTCTGGTGATTTTTCAACAATCCACATGTTATGATAACTAGTTGAAACCCAGTATTTGAGTCCTTCTATATTTAATAAAAGTAAATTATCAGCATAAATAAATATAGTTAAATTTATACTTAAACAAATTAAAACAAAATAATTAGCAATAATAATATGATGTTTCAGGCAATGGAAACTGGAAACAGTCCATTGACAGCGACTTCTATGAGCATGGTAAAAACATTTGATTATTATTGGTTTACCTGCTCATTTTGTATTTTTCTAATTATTCAAGTTCATAAATAAAAAAAGAGCTTAACAATTACCTATGAAAAATAATAATAATTGATTTTAAGTAACATACAGAAAAAATTAAAAATGTATCCAGATATAGGTTATAATTAAATAAGTATATTAAAATACAAGATAATGTAAATGTATTGAAGTGCAAGATTAATTATTAAATTAGATATCTAATGTACATAAAATATTTATAAAATTAAATATTGCGGTACAACAAAATATATAAGGCTAGGTACCTATCTAAAAAAAATGGAAAAACATTATTCAATTATACTGATATGATATTGTTATAATTACAATTATAGGTTCAATCATTGCATACTACATTTTTTTCGATTTAATTACATATTTCATTTAACTTACCATGTCCACAGGGATTTTTTACTAAATTTCTGTTGAATGGATCATGTTTGCATATCACATAAAATATATACCAAGGCAAATCAAGTTTTCTCACAGTATTCGTATCAATTTCTGAGAAACTGAAATATCCATTACCATTATTCACATACTCATTTTCTCGTGATGCCTTTTCTTGGAACACATATGCTTCTATGAGGTCTAGCCATCTTTTAGAAACAAGTCTACAATTCAGAAGAGTGTCTGTATCCACAAAACTCAAAACATACACCACCATTTCATCAGGTAGTAATTCAAAAGAGGTTTTGATTTCTCCATCAAGATAATTTAAAACTTCCATCATTTTAAATTAAAGCACTCGATAGTTGACGTTTAAAAATAAAACAATTCACAATTAATTGATGAAATATTAGATAAATATTATTAATCATTTAACAATTTGATATTAAAATATCAACTGTTTATTATATATAAACGTATAAATTAATTAATTTAATATATAATACCATACATTCATAATATGAAGGGGTCGTACTTGAAATTTTTTTCTAAATTATTAAATGATATTAATAATAATATTTTTCAGCCATGAGTGATAACGATGGGAATGATATGACGGTGATAATAACACAGATGAGTGTTTGGCAGTTGTCCGAAAAATGATAAGGATCTAAGAAACGATAAGGTCCGAAATTTGAAAAAAACAGTACCAACTGACTAAATCGAAAATTACCTATTCCAATTATATAATTTATATTGATAAAAGTTATACAATATCCACCGATTTTCAAAGCAGGAAAAATTCTAATAGGTTATTATTGTTTTCAACAAAAATTTTAATTACATTTACTTTTTATTTATTTTATTTTACTTTGATTACTTTTACTTTTATTTTATTTATATTTATTTTCTACAAAAATGAACCAAATTTTAAATTATGGTATCATATAATTATGTATAACATTAAATCATGGATATGTTTTCGGGTTAAAGCTTTGACTTGTATTATTTTAGTACCTAACCAATATAATTAGAGAAGGGTAATGCTTTTCTGTTCTCGCAATTCTTCTTAATATCCATGTTATAAATCTATGTAATATATCATGTATATTTATAAATATCTAGCTTAATATTTAATTTTATGTAAACCTTTCTTAAAATATATATGTTTTTTCATACATTTTTTAATTTTCTATGTGCTAGAACGTAAATAGTATAAAATATTACGTTTTAGTTTTAAGTGTGTACTGAAAAATAAGTATTTAAAAATGTATTATTTAAATATATTACATTAAATTATTTCATATAATTGATACCTGTTTATTTTATATGTAACTAATTAACACAATAATTAAAAATTAGCATATAAATAAATAGGTACTAAAACTCAAGTAAAAAAAAAATCCTTAACATTATTTAAATTTAAATAAATTAATTGAAATTAATTTCATCTTTAAATAGGAAATTTTAGATATTAAATTAGGCACTATAATATTATATATCTATGTCTTTATATGTCTATGCTAAATACATAGGGATTGGTTGGTCATAAAATGTGAACCGTAGTATAGTTTAAATTGAATATAATTATTATCGAAAAATATAATAATTATCATTCAAATGCATCAGTATAACTTCTTAAACAAAAAAATAATTTTATAATATAATTTTTAGAAATTTTATATTGGCAACACATTTTATGCCGCCGTCTTTCGATTCCAGTTCTTATAATTTTTCGGACAACTGCCCCAACTCAGAATAGATCATGATTTAAGATAATATTATATTTTTATTTTACATCATTAAAATTTTAATTAATAAAGGAAAAAAATATAATTGTATGCTTAAATAACATTTTTGAGATTAGAAAAATACTTATATTAAAAGGCGAAAATTTGTTTAGTGCCTATAATTAAATCCGGTACTGTTACAGTGGTAATTTTGTATGAAATTGGAGACGAAACCGTGCATGTCGAGTTACTCCCACTCGGTTTCAAATAAGTTTCATGTAAGTTAAATTACTTTTCAGTCGCGTTGCAACTAGAGATGGGCAAAAAGTTTGAAAGATCGATGTTTATCTTAATAAGTTTTAAGAAAAATTATATCTAAGTTATATGTATGTATGTTATGTATAAATTGTAAAATGTTTAAATAAATGTTATTTAAACATCGGACTTCGGATTAGAAAAAATCGATTTTTTTCAATACATCGCAATAAAAACATTGATGTAGAGTTTCAATATATCGAATGAAAACATCGATGTTTTTAAAAAATTGATGTATTTTGCCCATCTCTAGTTGCAACCGGTGAGAACATGATCAAAAATATTAGTATGCGTTGTAGTTTTATTGCAATCAAGTTACAGTTGGAAGTTGCTTTGGGGAGAACAACGGCTTAGAATAATCTAAAATATTCTATAGGTAGCTACAAAATAACATTTTGTTGGCAACTGGATAGTAACCAGTGATGTGGTCGTAATTTTTATATTGAGTATACGCTTAAATATGATCGATAATTAAACGTGGGGGCCTCCCCCCATATAGTTATATATACGTTGTTAAAAATTTCACATTTCTATATACACTAACCTGTCACAATTAAACCCATGGGCGAATTTTAGGGGAGGGTGAAGGGGCGATCCCCCCGAAATCCGTATTTAAGGAATTAATTATATGTGAGATACACATTTCAAATTTTTTTTATGTCGATCATTTTATAACGAAATTAAATTACGCGTGACTGTGAATACTGAATTAGGCTTTTTATCGAGTCCATAATACTTATACAAATAGATTTGTTATAAAATAAGCGTGACTTTCAAAACACAGCCAGGTTTTTGTGTTATTACGTATTGTACTCTTATTATAGTTATTATTATTCATTCTTATTGAGAGTAGATATTTTTATTTTTATCAGTTTGATATTTTATGGACTGACTTATAGCTACTATTTAAATTGTCGGCACCTGCAACAAAGGTTGTTTTTCAAAAGTCAATGCAATAATCAGTTATATTATTTTAACTAAAATGTACATAACGCCATTATGAATATTTGTCATCATAAAAATGGCAAATTTGGTAATTAATTGAAATATTGTCTTGAATATTTAAAAAATGTTAATTTTATTTATCATATTAAATTTTATTGATTTCAAATAAATATACTACCACTTTTACATTTCCAAATAATTTATCAAAAAAAAAAAAGTAGGAAGCTTTTTTGTCTCCCAAAAAATTGTAAATTTGGATGTAACTGGCTTTTGTACTGGTGTCTAGTGCCTTTATACTTAAATATTAAAACACAAATTTAGAATAAAAAAATATGTTAAGTTATAACCAATAAAATAAATACTTACAAAGTTCATATAGAATTATTATTAATTTGTTAAGTACCTACTAAGATTGTGTAAAATACAATGTACATACTTGATCAGCATTTATTTCCATAAAACTATTTAAACTCGAGTTTGGATCAACACATTATTCATTTAAAATATTGACAGTATCATTTGGAAAAATCTATGCACAGCATTTATACGATATAAATATGTATAATAATCATAATAATGTAATATTAATTGAATAGGTATATTAATTAAATACAATTATTGTAAATATTTATCGTTCGTAAATATATATCATATTACATATATTTATTTATTAAGAATAATAAATTTACAATAAAATAAAATTTCGATTATCAAAATGTTAAGATGAACTTTACTTTTGTTTTTTAACGGTAAAATAACTTTAACAATTCTTTAATATTATTTAATCAATTTTATCAACGATTTTAAAAATTATCATACATCCTTCAAAACGAATTCATCTATCAAAACGATCCTTTACTTTTAATAACGATAAAATAAAATTCTTCAAACTCCAATTAAATATTTAAATCTTTTAATTATTATCATTATTAAATTGTATAATATTAAACATACCCCCCTTTAAGTCCGCACCAGCGGTATCGGCATATTATATCTATCTATCTATCTATCTATCTATCTATCTATCTATCTATCTATACTATGTATAAAATTGTAAGGGTTTTTCTTAGATCGCGCTAACCGAGAACCGTTGGCGTAGATCTTCGTACAGAGTGCTTTTCACATGGGTAATTATACGTGGCATTTTCTCGAACTGGGGACCCGAATCGTCTTATGATTTTAATTTCAACAAGGAATATAACAAAAAACATCATATACTCAGAAGTCTTATAAAATTCTTTTAATTTTTATTTCTTCATCAACTTCAATCAAATTCTTTATCAACCATAAATTATTTCTTTTTTATCTGTATTTATTTTTATCATTTATAACGCTAGAAAAATTTCAATCCGTTTTTATTAACCGTTTTTTTATATTTACTTGCCGATCACATTAAACAATTATATTTGAATAAAAAATTCTATATATCATGGTCCGAAGGCAAAATAAACAACCAATCACGGGCGAAGCTGTGACGGGTCGGCTATAATTTATAAAATTAAATAAATAATTATGTAGATAGTAACAACTCATGTAAACAACATTACTCACATTTTCTTTTTATGTTGGTGCACTGTCTACGGACGATTTGTCTGAATCCACATCAATGGGTTTAAAAAACTTCAAAATTGAACTCATTTTTGATTTTATTCAATATATGACAATTAAAATTTAAGTGAATAGTGTACAAGCGTACAGATATAAATGTCGTGTATTCGTTGACACAGTGTTATTTTATATTAACAATGAACTCCAAAATGATCTATAATTATAGATGTTAGATAATATGGGTCGTTGGGAATTCTGTAATATGTCGGTGGCCACGACAATAAATTACACTCTTCGTCAACATTATCATCGAATTGGTGGCGACCGGTGTCGATCAGTTCTTCAGTCTTTCTCAGGGGCCATGTTTCTGCTCCATACAGGACAATTGGCCTTAACAAAGTTAAGTACATTCTAACTTTTAAGTTCTTAGAAATTGCTCTTGATCTAAAAATGTTACTAAGTCCAAAGAAACATTTATTAGCTGATTGTAATCTCATTGAAATTTCTGTTTTTATGTCGTTATCTTGAGTTATAATTGATCCTAAGTATTTGAATTGGTCTATTCTTCTAAATTTGTATTCTTCCACTTCGATGAATTCTTCTTGTACTAGATTCCCATTTCTCCGACTGACCACCATGTACTCTGTTTTTTCTTCATTAATCCTAAGTCCTACTTTCTCCGCAGCCATTATAAGTGATTTTCCCATTTTTATTATCATCTCTCTACTCCTTTCCAATAGAGCAATATCATCCGCATACGCCAGAATATTAATTGTCGATCGACCTAACTCAACTCCTTCACATAAATTGGTTTCTCTTACTATCTTCTCCAACACTAAGTTAAATAGTATGGGAAAAATCGCATCCCCTTGTCTTAAGCCTGTCACCACTTCCACTGGTTGTGACAACATATTTGCTAGCTTTACTTTGATCTTTGTTCCCTTTATATTTGCCTCTACAAGATTAACTAGCTTTTTTGGAAACTTAAATTCCCTAAGAATATTGATTAAGCTTGCCCTGTGGATAGAGTCATAGGCTTTCTAGAAGTCCACAAATAATATATACGCGTCTTTATTGAACTATAGAAAACTAATATAAAAAATTATTTATAAAAAACTACGACCACATAATTTTAAGCCTTTCTTCATTCATCAAGTCCATCAACCACTTATTTTTGAAAAATATAAATTTAACTTTTAATAATTAATTTCTTATTAATTATTTCAATTTCATCTTTTGAACCTGAGTTCATATTGAATGAATAACTTTTAAATTAAACCAACATACTACAGAGTACAGCACTAAATAGTAACTAATAGCATTGATTAAATATATAAATGTATATTTATAATCAATGGTAGTACCTACTCGCGGTTATCGTAATCGTAATCGCTCGGTATCAATTATCCGTGTTCTAAAAATATCGGGTGCAGAAAGTTCGATATTGACAAAACCGCCGGGTGTCAATTGTCCGAATACCAAATTTAGTTTACAAAATTTAAAAATTAAAGCACCTCTTTTATATTTAGTTAAATAATAAACTAGGCTAAGTCCTTATTTAAGTTCTTAAATCATGTATTTTACGATTGTATTATTATATTAAATATATTATTGTATTATTTATGTATTTTCGTATTAGTCTTTGCATTTAATAAGTAAATATTAGACTTATAACTATGTATTTAAATAAAATATATAGAATTATATTTTATATAAAATATATATTATTTTTAATTAAAGACTTATAACGTATTTATGTTTAAATATTTCGTTTGAATTTCGACTATTGCTATTTATGCTTAATAATTAATAGTTATTTTAACAATTTGTATGTGTATTATTTAATTCTAATTCATAAACATCATTATTTTTATATTAGGTTAACATATTAAAATAATAAATAAAAAAAGTATTTGTTTTATTCAATTACACAATGTATTTGGTCTGAAGTGTAATATAAACACCTTTGAATTATTTGAATACATTTGTAATAAGTGAAACACGGTTTTTTTAAATTTGAGTCTAATACATCTAAAAACGAAAATAAAAATTCCAAATAATCTACATTAATCTTATGCTTTGTTAATAACAAGTATACAATCTCGTTGAATTTTTTTAAAGTTGTACTTGGAATACCAAATGGTTTATCAGCATCATATAGTGTGAGATTACTGTAAAATAAAAATGTAAAAAATTATTAATATAATCATATTGATCAATTATATAATTTATGTAAATAGTTTATGTTTAGAAAAAAAAATCTTACATTTGATACAATATTTTTTGAAAAAAATATTTCAAATGTTAGTAAAAATGTACTTATATATTTTTCATAATCATTACTGTAAATTAAAAATGTATTTAATAAATACTCGTAAATTACTATTTAACTAAAAATCACTAACGGAAAACTGTAACTACATGTTACCCTTTTTTCGCTAAAAAAGTAAATTATTACTTATAAATTACACAGTAATTAATACGATATTTTCTTGGACAAATTAAAATAAACCGAAGTTTTTAACCAATAATTACTATTTGCCAATCAAATAATGTAAACCAATTAATTTTCTCATATTTTACGTGTACAATTATTACTTTAAACTTAAGTCATCGTGTTCCAGTGATGTGTACATTGGCCAATCGTCCATACAAGCCAGGCATTGACAAGAGAATTTATATTGATCCAGTAAATGTTTATTACGTTCTACTTTATTATGTGACATAAAATTGACTCCATAATCAGTAAACAGCTATATATATTAAACAGTAAATAAAACATCAAAGTAAATTGTATTTGAAAAATATCCATAGTCTAGAGCAAGGCTAGATCAAGGGGGGAGCTAAAGGGGCTATAGTTCCGGGCTGCTAGTTGAAAGGGACCATAATGTGTTTTATATTCGTTGGCTAACAATATAAAGTACTGTTTTATCAATTAATTGTGACTATACTACAATGTACAAATGTACTATACTTATTTTAAATAATATTTATTATAAATTACTAATTCTGAATAAAAAAATGAAATTATTTTAGATGAAAGGATCTCACCAAAATTTAGGTTACGTTAGTTAATCATTATGGTTTATGGTTATGGTTAACTATATATAATATATATTAAGGTGGTCCTTAGTTATAGAGGTTAAAAAAAAAATTGAAAAATTTATACTCGTGGGCTCGAAATTTTGTTTGGTATATTGACAAGATAATTTTGGTAAA